GTACAACACCGATATCCCTGCAGCAACTGGATGTGACAACCCACCTTTATTTGGGAGAGCAGTGCTCCAGCACACTTTAGAAATCATGGTCTGGTGAAGGCAGAGTTACATCATCATCAGCACACAGCGGTACGGACAAATCCCCAAACCAAATGCTCTTTATTACCTCAGGGTGGAGCCGTACACATTTCATGGCAATCCATCAAATAGTTGAGAGATATTTAAGTCTGGACCGGAGTGGTGGAGCAACCTACAGACCACATCGGCACCAGAACAGCTGATAAAAAGGATCTCTTACAGGACCTGATGACTGCAGTCTGTCTTCTAAAGCACATTCAAACACTCTAACTTAATATATTTAGACTTCATCAGCTGCGTTTAAGCATGTCACTAAATATAAGAGACAAGTGGATTTATTTCTTTAAATATTTGACTCACTCGTGACCATATTTTACTCTGTACTTTAAAGCCAGGAATTAGAGGTGTAACAAGAAGTTCTGTTTATACGGCTGTCCTCTGTGTATCATAAATAAACCACACAGTTCACCTCAGCTTTAACAACAACAAATGTTTCACCCACAAGTGCGATGTCATCTAAATCTCATCTAAGCTTCTTTCATTATCAGCTGGAAGTCTCTTTTCTAATTTCTGTTTGATTTGTTTAGTTGATAAAAGCGTTTAGAGCGACTGGGCCTTAAAACGTTAAAGTATCCAGTATCCATTGAATATCGTGTTTTTTCTGTGTAGCAGAAGCAGATTTTGTCTGCTTTCCAAAAAATAAAACAAAACAACACAGATGTATCTTGTGACCTCGGGAGGGTTCCTGACCCCGAGGGTGGGAGCCATAATTGTAAACAACACTATATCATCTACACTGCAACTGGGAAATAACTGTAAAGATATTAAGCTGCAGCACTGCTAATTATTGTTATGTATGCCCTGCCCTTGATGCCATGATTTCATATTTGTATCTAATAAATCCTATCTTCCCCTCTATTAAAGGACCAGTGTGTAAATGGTAAATAGACTGTACTTATATAGCACCTTTCTAGTCTTACGACCACTCAATGCGCTGTACACTTGCCACACTCACCCCATTCGCGCACATTCAAACACTGATGGGAGTGGCTGCCATGCAAGGTCCAACTGCTCATCAGAACGGAAACATTCATTCACACACAGTTATAGTTATAGTTACAGTTATATATATATTATCATGGAGCAATTTGGGGTTCAGTATCTCGCTCTACCTCTGAGCCACAGCCACTACTAATGGAGAAGTTTCAGATTGCAACTAACTGAACACGACTTGCATCTGGATTTAACACCCTGGGAATGAGTACAGGCTGTGCAAGAGAAAATGCAATGGCCACGAAACTCACAAAAAGGCGAAGGGCCCTATCTACAGCCAGTGTTTGTTTGTCCCTTCTTGGCTACTGTAGAAACATGGTGGTTAAACGTGACGGACTCCAAGGCGTCTGTAGATAAAACCGGTTCATTCTAAGGTAACAAAAACTCAACGATTCCTATATTCAGGTGATTATACACTAATGAAAATATTATATTATATTCTGCCAGTTTCCTCCTAAATGTTACCTTTAATTCCACTAAAACATATTCATCAGATTACCACCTTCACATTGGCTTTGAGAGTACTGGAATACAGTATTATATGTGCTAAAACCCACCTACTGCCTCCCTGCTTTGTGTAGTTTCAGGGAAAGAGCCTTTGGAACAGATACATTTATTCAAACACGGGAGGATTAATGCACAAGAAATAATAAACAGCCTCTTCATGCAGCGTAATGGACTTCTTGAAACAATGCAGAACACTCTGGTTGGCCTTTGATTATTTGTGTTGATACTAAGACGACAAGAGTTCTTGACAGAAGCAGTGGATGAATTATTCATTCGCACCGAAGAGCCGCTCTTCGTGTTCTCTATTATCAAAGGGGATTAAAATATATAATACTAGCTGCTACCTATCTTACTGTATTAGCGGTTACTCATCATGTGATTTATTCATGATCTTTAAATTAAGCTCAGTGTGGTGTAGCGACTTTCTGTGGTTCATCTTTGATACACATTCAGAAGTATTAATCAAACAGATGTCTGAATGATGAGATTATGCTACATTTGGCAGCAAATGTGTGTTTGAAGATGGGGGGGGGGGCTGTAAGTTATCTGAATTAACATAAAACTCTGTTTTCAAAAAGATGTACCCACATAATGATCCATTATTCAGTGGTGGGAAAAAGAAAAGTAGCAATACTGATCTATGAAAATAAAGTTGGGTGGCAGGATGGCGCTTGTCAGTGTTATATTTATTGGATTGTTATTACATTTGTGAAGCTTTTCAATCTTTTAGTTGATTGAGAAGGAACAAGTTCTTTATATCCTGTTGGATAGTTAATCTATAACAATGTATCTTTAAAAGCTTGGCATATGTTGTGTATGTAAAATAAAGATCTAAATAGTAACTTTACCTGTAAAATAGATTTAGTAATGGAGTTCCAGCTGCTGATGTTTCCATCTTTCAAACTAGTTTCCTTCACAATGACAAAAATGAATCCAAGGATGTGATTGGATTGTTGGACTTCAAATCAGTAGACGGTGACAACAACAACTTCTTTTCTGGAAGAGTAACTGTAATATTATTACTCATACAGAAATTCATTAGTAGTAGTTACACTACTAGTTACTGGGAAAAGTAGTATTATTACTAGTAATGAATTACTGCCCAACACTGGACAGAAAATGCAGTATTATTGACGAATGTTTGTCCACTTCTTTAAAGTCAAAACTGCTCAGTAATAATATATTAAGGCTGACTAACAACATTGTCTCTGAGCCCAACCATGTCCTGAACAGTGAATACACATTGTTACCATCTTTGTCCTAATTTATGTCTATGTGATGTTGCTAATGGAGCTGCTGTATCATCATCATCATCATCATTATCAAAAGTAAGCTTGATAATAAGACGCTGTAACTTTTTCCACTATGAATGAACCTGCATATTTAGCTCATTTTCTTCCCATGGACCATAACAATTGCAAACTTAGCTTTCAGCCTCATGCCTTCACATCTGTGCAGCAGCTGCATCTGTTTGGTCATTAAAGCCTTGAATTTGCCCGGTGGTGATGTCCCAGCTACAAATGCGTTGTGAGTGAACGTTGCGGGTTCACTGGGCACCAGGCGTGAGATTTACTGTGTTTAAAGTGTTTGGGAAGACTCTCTACTAGCATCCTCTCATTTAAATTTGACAGTTTAGACATTGCTGCTCTGTCTGTGATTTTTTCTAACTATTCAGTTTATAATGTAATAAAACAAAGACAAGTAGAAGTTTGACATTTTGAGAAATAGGCTTGTAAGTTTTCTTGACGAGAGTTTGATGAGAAGATTCAATACCACTTTTCACGTCTGTACGTTAAATTTGCAGCCACAGCTGCAGGAGGCAACTAGCTTAGCTTAGCATAAAGACTTGGAACAGAGGGAAACAGCTAGCCTATAAGGTAACACAATCCACATCATAATCAAAGCTTTAAAAACACTCACTTTGCTTTATCGGTGCTGGTAGGAAGATTTTGTAGCCTTTGGACAGCAGGCTAGTTTTCTATGTTTTCTGGTTTTCTTTGCATGAAATGTTGTAAAAGGTGTAGTACAAAATGAGTGGACACAGTCTCTACTGTATGAGTGAAAAGGAGAGGAATAAAGAAAGCTAATCATACTGAAAAACACTTCTCTCACCAGCTAATAAACTGCAAAGTGCAAGCTTTGGGGAAAAGCAACTGGAGGAAAATAAGTTCTTGATTGTCACTCTGAACAGTTTATGAACTGTTGAATTATTCCTTTGTTACATGAAGGGGAATACTCTTTGACATCACCTTGCAGGTTATTTTCTACAGAAGACTGAATAAATCTGTGATCTGACAAGTCCCTGTTCAGAACTTCCATTACCAAGCAGAGCGTGCTGTCAAACAACACGACATAATGGGCCAGCCTGCCACTATTTGTTAAAGTTGTTGCTCTAAAAGGAGTTACATCTGCACAGAAAGTGGCTAGCGTTGTCTGTCTGGACATTTGAGTTTAGTTTGCTACCAAATTTGACCCACCAAGCAGAGGAAGGTATTGAAACTGCAAGATTAAAGCCTTAAATCTTTGAAAAAAGTTTTCAGGAATAAAAGGAAGTAACCCAATTTTCAGATGAAAGTCTTGAGAAAAGATATTGAATTTTGGATAAAATGTGAGACTGAATAATAGCCAGAAAGCACAAAAGAGCCATTCAGTTAAGCAAAAAGGTATTCTTCTATTTGATATGCAACAAAACAGTATATTATTGATCCATGTTGTTACATCTAAGAGCTGAAAAGAACAAATATAAATGGCAGCTGTGGGTACAAGTGAGCCACTAGCACCATTTCTGCTGGAGGTCTCTCTGTAAGTGTGTAGTTCTTATTTCATTGATTCTTTTCTCCAGACCCTCCTGACATGTCTTTCATCATAAAAACTCCTTATATGGAATTTATCAGCATCTATCCAGCCTGCACAATGTCCAGAGGGACTTAATTGCTTTAAATATTCTCGACGTGACAGAGAATATGGCTCCCACATTAGAAAACACTGACAAGTTTAATTATGGACAGTAACCTCACTCTAAGGCACCCAAACCAATGTGACGTGTTGTTGAAGCTGCATGTAGCTCTTTTTTCTTAGTGTCATGTGTCATATGTCACATGCTAAGGTGTAAGTCTTGATTTTTTATTTTTTACACGTTTGGGCCGCAACAGGAACCTGGAAACACAAGCAAACACAGATGTGATATGCTCAATCAAACATGGGCTAATTAATGCAAAACAAAGCAGAAGAGAATAATAAATGTGTCCTTGAAAATAATCTGTTATCCCCATTCAGGGCCAGCGCTGATGCTGTATGCAAACACAGTTTCAATTAAATTAAATCTATATTTTCTAAAGGAAATACTAGATGAATGCTGATGATTTATTTTAACATTTATTTGACACAAAAAACTTCTCATGAATAAAGAAAATGTAAATTTTTTAGGGCTGTAAAAGGACAATTTGTTAATCCCACAGTACACAGGAAACTACGAGCATTTTTACAAAATATGCTAAAAACACACAATCAACATCGGGCTCACATGTGTACAGTATACAGAATATATAAATATGTCGATTGCGAAAAGGAATCATACATGAGTCTCGAGAGCTGGATATGTTGAGACATGCCGCTGACAGCATTTCAACAGCAACGAGACGAGGGAGACAGAAAACTCGTTGGCAACACTTAACGTCACAACATGTTCCCCATGATGCATTTGCTGTCAGATTTGTTGCATGTCTCTCCAGTGGCTAAAAAAGGCTTTATGTATATTCTCTGAATTGGCTGATGTTTTGAATTGGAACTGATTTGTTTGTTATCAGAGCTTCAGAGATTATTACCTCCTGCTGCCCAGTTTGGCAGACTGGAAGTCTAATGATATGAACTTCTCCCACACGCGAATCTGGAGTCAGAAATAATCTCAGAAGAAGGATTGAGGGGTTGTTTTTAGCTGGTAAATCCGGTGACAATGTCAAGGAGAAAAAGAGGAAGTACTGGTATAGTAATTATTTGCTGCTGAGGCTTAAAACACTTAATATTAAAGGCCTTGCACCCACACAGGCATTTTAAATAATAATCAGACCTCTAGTTAGGTGGAGTGGAGCTACTCTTGGAATTACACAATGACACCAAAGCCTATTATTTAATAATCATCTAATCTAATTATGATTATGTCCAACAAGTGTAATAAATCTATGAGGAGAGTGAATGAGATGTCAGTCAGGTCTGAGAGGGTGTCTAATGTGACAACATGAGTGAGAACAGCTGTGTAGGTGGACTATGGCGGTGTAGAGACTAGTTTAAGTAGTTAGCCTTGCACACCTGTCTATGGAAGCTGCTTACAGTAGCTACTCTGTTAACATATATATAATGGTCATGATGCTGTATAAATAACACGGATGCATTTGCATGCTAACATTTGCTAATTCACACTAAACACAAGGTACAGCTGAGGCAGAGGGTGTCATTAGTTTTGCAGGTATTTGGTCATGACAAACAAATGCATTTTTTAAATGTATATTTTATGACAATAAGCTCAGTTTGTCCTCTCAATAAATATCCACCTAGATGAGGTTTTTTAAATTAAATACCAAAAATGATTTAGCTGCAACGTCCTTGGTTGGCAAATGAAGCCAACAGAAACTGCAGTTCCTCACATGGCCACTTAAGGCTGGCTACAGAAGTGAGTCAATCTCCATAAGGCCCCATATTAAAATGCCCAACTATAGATCAGAAATAAATATGTTCACAGCAAAAAACATTTGAGCTTCACAACAGCTCTTTAGAAACTCATGTGTGACATCACAAAGACTACATCCATTTTCAATCATACAGTATATGGACACAGTCAGAAACATACGGCTGCACAGTTAGAACTCTCTCTCTCGCAGTTGGTTTTTTTATGTACTGTCGACTTGTTAAAACTGAATAAATGTATAAAAAAGGGTGAAAAACTGTGCTGTTTGTTCATCAGTGCTGTTGAAGAGCGTGGAACATCTGAGGAGCACTCCAGCCTGAGCGCATGAAAAGCACAAGTACACTTGTTATCAAGAGACATATTATACTGATAATTTGATTAGGTCATTGCTGCACAAAATCAGTGCTGATTCATGACAGAACTAGTTAACATAAAGTCTGGACATTGTCTGAAGGCAAAATTCATAATATGCACCCACAATATCACGTTTCACATAAATTGTCCATCTTTGCCGGGTCTTTTTTTTTTATGTGCACAACAATGGTGATTATGATATTTCAAAGATCCACTTACACTATTGTGAAATGGTGACACACATTGTGATGCCATTAGTTCCCATTAAGCTGTGTGAAGTACACTAAAGCCTGGTTTCACGTGCTGTATTTACAACACAGTTACAATATTGATGTAAAAGTACCACAACTACCACACCACAAATACAACTTGTGTCACAGCGAACAACAAGAATATGTGTTTATCTATAAGTTCTTTTTCTAACAGGTGGAAATAACAGCAATATCTAACATTAAAATGAAAGATTTTCACAAATGATTTATCATAAAGTCTGTCCGAACTCAGCAAAGCCTTTATTAAGAAATACTTAAAGTGCTTGCATCATCATCCGTCTTGTTGAACCTCTTGGTGGTTTGGCCGCTCACTTCCTCCTGCTCTGTGACAAGCTCATTGCTCTCGTGGGATGAATCCTTTATCACGCTGTAATACATCGGCACATTGTACTCTGCCGCCTTCTCCTTGCGTTGCCAGTTGCACTTGCAGAGCTTTTTGAACGCGACGCGAAACTTCTGAGACATGAGGTTGTAAATGATGGGGTTGATGGCACTGTTGGTGTAGATGCACATCCGGCAGAAGAGCAGGAACCAGGTGTTGTTGTAAGGCGGGTCGATGAAGGAGTTGACCACCACCAGGGTTCGGTACGGCATCCAGAGCAACGCGAAGAGGACGACCACCACGGCAAGCATCTTTGTTATCTGGTATCACAAAGAAAGAGACAGAAGAGCAAGGACACAAGACATAAGAGGACATAGGACAAGGACATAAGAGTGCAATTATAATTATCTTAACAGGCACACTGTATGACATAACAACCTGTGCTAACTCTGTGAGGTTGATGGGGACAGCTGTGCTAAATGCCAATGTCAGTATGCTTACATGCTCACAGGTTCTTCTAGATCACAACTGTTTGTACGATGTGCTGTATGACTGCGGTGTTCTGAGTGACCACACTAAAGGATGGTTTGAAAAGGGCTTTATTGCCTTCAATTAATAGGGACAGTGAATGGGGGAGAGAGAGGAGGGAGGACATGCAGCAAAGGGCCACAGGTCGAGGGCCACCAATAGGCCTTTTTTCAATGTAATCATTAACTGCCGCCCTCACACAATAAAAGAGCAACGAACGCAATCACGTTCATGATGATGTTTGTTCGCTGTGAGCGGGAAGCCAGTTTAGATACTGAATGGCAGATGAAAATCAATAAAATGGATTTGTGGTTAAAACGTAGCAGCATTAAAGCTAAAAGTGAAAAAGAACCAAAAAAATAGAGCCAATGAAATGCTGTCAATATCAGGAAAAATATGTTTTAATGTTATTTACTTCAACGAGCTGCAACCCTTCCAAAGCATTGTTTGCTTTTACACTTACATGTTGTTGTTTAATAAATCAGACACTGATGGCGGACTCCACTGGATTGTGGAAGAAATATTTCAAAGGGAGTACATTATTGAAGAACCACTGGTGTAAAGAATGAAAACATAGAGCTTGAGTGAAGTTCACTCCCTGACTCATCTTCACCCAGATGGCCAATCACAACGTGAAGTGAATGTCGGATTGTCAGTTTGCAGAAAATTATAGAAATTGTCACACATGCCAAACTCTGATGTCAGAAAGTTGTGGAGGTTTCGAAAACTGACCAGCACTGTGTGTTTAGGAGGTATAATGTTTACCAAGTTCACAATCTTAGTTTAATGTAGTTTAATAGCATTTCTAAATAGAACTAAACACGCAGTGTAGCTAAGCTGATGTCATTAGTAGTGCAGATATTTGGTCATCATCCAAACTACTGGACCTCATTATGGTGCTAGAAGAAAAGTCAGAGGATCACCAAAGTTATTACAATTCATCCTGGTCATGAATGTCTGAATTTCATGGCAATCCATCTAATAGTTGTTAATAAACTAAAAGTCATAATCACAAATGTGATCTTCATAGTGGTGGTCATCAAATCAGTAGGATTCATCCTCTGGGAAACATGAATGTCTGGCAAATCCAGGATTTCATGGGCTGTTTGTGGGATTCTTGTGGCCTAAAATGTCTGATTTCATCGCAGTTTTTCTTTAAAATGTTGTTGTATTATTTGTGTAAAACTCATTAAAAATGAAAGATAACTTGTGAGAATAAAATCACACTGTTTGGGGTAAATGTGAGACTTTTGCATTGCACATGCCTTCATGGTCTGCATCTTCACAATTAGAAACAAGGAAGTGAGTCTGGTGACATATGGCTCACCGTTTTGTGAAGGAAACTACAATAATTGGTCAAATTTGCACAAAAGTTGTTGTGATTGGACATAATTCTAGCCTCTCCATCACATTACCTGTTTCCTTGCAGAGACTGCACCCTTGTTGGCCTTGTTGGTGCTGTTGGAGTGACCCTGGTGGACCGACCCTCCTCCGGCTCTGTCGTTCAGATGTGAGGGCAGAGGGCTCATGAACAAGATCCTCGCGATGAGCCCGTACAGCACGGTGGCCACAGCGAGGGGGATCACATAGAACAAAGTAAAGTCCAGGAAATAGATTGGCATGTAGAAGCTCCTGGAGACACGGTAGCCACAAGTGACCACCACTCCGTTGGTATAGACAGTTTCATCTGTGTCCACTAAGAAGAACCACATAATGCAGTAGAGTGAGGTGAAGATCCAGACTCCAGCTATGATCCTCTTGGCTCTGGAAACGGTGCATATGAACTGAGCTTTTATGGAGTGACAGATAGCAATGTATCGTTCGATGGTGAAGGCTGTGATGGAGCAGGACGACACGTTGATGCCGAGGTACTGAAGATATGTTATACACAAGCATCCTGTGTATCCGTATATCCAGAAGGCTACAACATCAGAGATATTAGGGAGCCCAGCAGCAAGCAGCACAATGAGGTCTGCGACAGCCAGACTGACGAGGTAACAGTTAGTCGGGGTGACCATGTGTTTAGTGCGCAGCACAACCAGCACCACCATGACATTGCCAGCAATCCCAACTACACAGATTAGCATTGTCAAAAATATTGTTATGACCTGCTCTTCAAGAGGGTTCAGAGGCATTTCAGTCCGATTTACAACCCGAGTGACATCCTGAAAGATGGTCGTGTTGTTCTCCATCGTGTTCAAGTCCTGTGGCCACAATTCAGTTGATCTCCAGGGGCACAAAACAAGAGTCCTTAAGACAGAAACAGGGAGAAACAATAGATAGGGACTGTATGAAGACTGGGGAGAGGAGGTAGTTTGAATTTTATAATTCACTTGAAAAAGTAAGATCCTCCCCAGCATTATTAATAATTTCCGTTGGACTGTGCACCAGGCAGCTGTTAGCTGTCAGTAAAAAAGCTCTAAAAAATACACTGTACGCTAACTGCTCAGCACACAACAGCAGATAGACACAGTTAGTAACTAGCTGGTTAAACATAGTGGAGCATTTAGCAGCTACAAGCCAAAGTTAACACTTGGTTTGGATGGTCCACCTACAAGTATACAGATACCTCATAGAGTATTTTGTAACATTTCAACAGCTTATTAGTTGAGATTTAACAACCGTTTTATGATATTACACCTCTGTGAAAAAGATTTTGTTAAAATCTTGGTATTTATCTGGGTATGTACATGAAGTGTCACATAAGATAATCTGTCAAAATGTTAAAATACTCTATAAACTATCTATTGGCAGACTATCCACATTAAGTGTTACTGAGCCAGATATTTATTTTCCTCAGGAGTTGGAGACCAAAAACAGAGCTAAAAGAGAATAAGTATTGGACTTACATTCATCAGGTGACCAGAGACACGACTTCAAATCAATTATAATGTCCCCCACTTAACTGCTGGATGTGTAAATAAATCACTGTTTGCTAAATTCACCATATAAATGGAAAATATTATATTATAATATGTCAATTTTATGTTCATAACTTGTCTCCACTGCCCCCAAGTGGCCATGTTTTTATTGCAGGTTTTTACATATTAATATAATCAACACCAAAGCTGCCAATGTGCTCATTATACGTGGAAACAGCCATTTCCAACTTAATAGAAAACATAACAAAATTAGGAATATTCCAGTCACTCTCTATTTTATAATAAAGACATACTAAAAAGTTAAACTCAAATCTTAATATAGGCCAAGGGAGGAATGAAATATAAATCTGGTGTGAGTAAAAATAAAAATCCCTCAGACTACCCTCCTTACAGCAAAAAGAAACAAATGCATAACCCTCCCCCCCTTTCTTACCTCCCCCTAAATTACTTTTGTACAGCCCCTAAGCAGAGGAAACACAGCAGGAATAAATAGCTAAAACATTCAAGTTAAGAAAATCAAAGGATATAAATGTGCTGCAAATATTTTTAAGAGAAGAAAATGGGCAGCTTACCATCATTTGCAAAAGGCAGCACTCACTCTGGCATGGTAGAAGCACTCAGGTGCAAACAACCAAGAAACACAGATGACTGCTTAGTCCCTCTCCAGAGCCGCTCTAGCTATCCACATCTCTCTCTCTCTCTCTCTCTCTCTCTCTCTCTCTCTCTCTCTCTCTCTCTCTCTCTCTCTCTCTCCCTCCCTTTTTTTCCCCCAGTGCACCCCTCCCTCTCTTTCACATCACACACCATTATATCCACACTGCAACACAGTGCCTTGCACAGCCACCAACTTAAAAATCAATTCCACCTCCCCATCCAAGCTCAGAATGTCAGGTCAACTACTGTGGCTATCGCTGTATCCATAAACCCTATAATTACTCAAAGAACAGAGGAGGTAGCCTGCAATTCAAAGCATCAGCCTCTGCAGTGATTGGCCATTGAAATGAAATGGCACTAATTACCAAGCAGACCTTTTTTTTGCCACTAGCAGACATAATTTAGTGAACTCTTCATCTTGTGTGAAAGGGCAAATTAACATCTTCGGATTCACTGGTTTTGCACAGATTCGGGAGTGCAGAATTCAACAATTTTAATGCTTCTTGAAGGACAAACATTAACAAACATAATATTAATATTATTGCTATTCCTGTGGCATTTAAGGACCGTGTGTGGTAAATGCTGATACTGATAAAAACCCTGCTTCCAATGGCTGAAAACATTAGGTAAAATATGTTTCTCAAAGGTATTAAAACAGATTCTAACAAACCACTTAGAGCTTGGAAAGCTATTTAAACCTCTGCCTGTGGAGTTGACTGTCAGTATGAATGCTAATGCATGACAGATGCTTACATTTTCATAGAAGAATAGTTTTCAGTCGCAGAACGTTCAATCCACCAGGCTTCCTCTAATGAACAGATAACAGCCTCACAGAAGAAAAAGAAATCCTGCAGAGCCGTTTTTTGTCCAGGTAATTGATGGACTGAACTGCTGCATGCTAAGAAGCCTGTCCTATACTGTGTTTGAACAAATATTATAATTAGTGACTGCTTCCTGCCTGCTGGTGTGCCAGTTGTTCTCATTCTGTTCATCCAAAGATTTGTTAAAACCCACATTTATTTTACGTTCTAGTGGAGATTGGAAGTTTTCCAAAGGTACCAAACATGCCAGACTGAAGTCGTATTTCTATTTGAGTCTTGAGTTTTGATATTTCACCCAGTGTAAACATCATATGCAGATTTTGAACAAGCTTATACAGAATATATGATACTGTCTAGTGTAGACTAAATGGGGGTTTCCAACCTTAAAGCTACTAAAGAGAAAGAAAATTGGAAACTGGATGTTAAGAGATACATTTTTAATTTCTATTTCAACAATAATCAATCTTTCAGTTCACTGCATTTTAACAAGAATGAGTCCAGACAGAGCTGTCAAACACAAAGCTGAAGCTAAAGGAAATGCTATGATGATAGAAGAAAAGTCAGAGGATCACCAAAGTTAATACAATTCCTCCTGGCCATGAATGTCTGAACCAAATTTCCTGGCAATCTATCTAATAGCTGTGGAGAAATCTAACTACACTAAGTCAGGCAATCGTCAAATCAGTAGGATTCATCCTCTGGAGACATACAGAGTACAAAACTTCATGGCAAACCCGCCATCAGATCTTGACCTTAACAGTGAGGTCTAGATAAAGAAATCTGAAATTATTCATTAAACTTCGATATTAAATTAATTCTAATATTTCACTCAGTGTAAACATCAAAGCTTGTTAGCTTCCGTGCAGAATATATAAATTATTATACTGTCTAGTGTAGAATACGTTGATTTTTCCAACCTTAAAGCTACTAAAAGAGAAAGAAAATTGGAAACTGGGTGTTAAGAGATACATTATTATTTACATTTTTAACAAAAATCAATCTTTTACTTTGCTATATTTCTAACGAGAACGAGCCCAGACAGAGCTGTCACACACACATACACACACACACACACACACACACACACACACACACACACACACACACACACACACACACACACACACACACACACATACAGTAAGCAACACGCTGATGAACAGAATTCATAGTAACAGCAAATACATGAATAATTTATCATTTCTGGACAAACAACAGTGTATCATCTTTACACAGGATGCTGAATTCTGAGACAATCATGAGGCAGACAAAATGTCAGGATTAAAAATAGATAATAAAGATGTATTCTATTATTATTCTAGGATGATTTCTTAAAATAAACTCCCAAAGCCTCATGGGAGTTTTGAGCAGGAGCGTACTGAACTGTAAGTGATTTTTATTTATTTTTTATTTTTTTGGAACGGCACACTGATTAAAATAGGCTGGCGAATTATTAGATGTACGCATGAAAAAGATTCATTTAATCTATTACAGTTATCTAGGCCTATGAAATATTAAAAAAATTGTAAGATCCAATTTACTGCTGTTCATTTCCTGACAGAAGAGTAGGGGTATTATTCTCTGTCCTCATCTGTCCAAAGCACCATAGTGGCATCTAGTGGGGCTGAGTGGTTTAAAAAAAACAAGAAATAGCACACAGGTTTGTACTGGTCCACACAAGAGGAAATACAACACTGCACACACACAGTACAGAAAAATATACGCTAAAATACGTGCTCTGTGACCTTTATGTGAAAAAAAAAAAAAACAAGCGTGTTCCTGTCAAACAAACAAGGTGGATGCAAATTAAGCAGATGTGGTGGTACATCTATAAAAACCACATTAGGTTTAAGAGTGAGAGGATGCTGTTGAGTGGCCGTACGCTTGCAGGGGAAAATGTGTTGTTTGCAGTGACTCATACACAGGATGTTCTATCTTCACTTTACATTTCGTTAAAACAGAAACTCAACATGAGACCCCTGATTAATGTGATACAAACCTGCTACGTTGAGACTGCAGGCAAAAGTGGCCAAATCTGATTTGTTTTTTGTTCATATGTGTCTGTTTTTTCAGCACAAATCACAGGAAATCTGATCTTTTCACTTCAATATGTGGTCCTAAACCAGATACAGGTTTGATTTTTTTGCAATGGAACCTCAGAGTGAGTCACTGTGGATTCCCATTCACCACAATTCTGGTGCTAGTGGGAGTCTGTGAATATGAAAGACAGCTGCGATGGAGGTAGTCAGTGGAAGGTTTCTGTTTCTGTGAAGCCATTCATGTCACAATCCCACCAATCTTGGCTTCGACTATGCATCTACATGCACACCTCTGTACAGGAGTAGCAGTCATTGCTCCACAAAAAGCCATAATTAAACATTTGGCATCATCCTCGTTATCAACTGCTCACACATTTAATGTCTTTAACTGCACTTAAACTTATAAAATAAATGAAACAGTAAACACTGATTTCAGTGGCCTTCAGGTTTACTTCAGTGCTGGATGTGACATATTTGTTATTGGCCACACTGGAATCTGATGGAAATGTTATCACTTTTCCAGGTAGTATCGGATAATTGTTTTGACCTGATGTCACTAGGTTAAAAGCTAAGGTATCACCAAAGTTCATACATCCTGAGGGGAACATAAATGTGTGTGCCAAATTTGATGGCATCCATTATTTGTTGAAACATGTCACTAAAAACAACTCATGTTATCCTTATCGCTAGAGGAAAAGCAATGGGATCACTAAAGTCAAGTAGATGTTGAGATTTCACTCTATAAGTAAAAACTTTGAGCTGCTGGTGGCGCTACATGACCAGTCAGGGTTTCACCAAAGTCATGAGGATTCATCATCTTGGCACCTTGAATGTCAGAACCAGATTTCCGGGCAATCCATCCGATAGCTGTTGAGATATTTCACTAAGAACCTAAATGGGAACCTTGTGGTGGCGCTAGAGGAAAAGTCAGAGGATCATCAGTCAGTAGGCTTTATTGTCTGGAGAACATGAATGATTATCTAAAATTTCATGGTAATCCATCTGATAGTTGTTGTTGCCATACGTAGCCACATTGCCAGCATGGCTAAAAACATCAGAATAATTAGACAAGCATTGCATTGTGCAGTGAAAGTTCAGCCACGGGCAACCTCAACAGAAACTGTCTCTTTTTGTTCTTTTTTATTCAGCTTCACTTGTATTTTCTTCATCAGGTAATCTATTCTCCTCTCCTCCTGCTCTCTGAAAAAGGATGCAGAGATCTTCCTGCGCAGCCGTCTTGCGTAAACCTCGAGGAACACCAGAGAGTAGCTCATCAGCCAGAGACAACCCAGCAGGAGCCGGACTCCTTGGTTCGGAGCTGAAGTTGACACATCACAGAGCGATGGCTCGGGGTTGAAGGTCCACTTGTATTCCCTGTGGAAGTTTGTGATCTCCCGTGTGACACAGGATTGTGGGATAATGCAAAAAGCAGGGGGGAACCATTGTACCTATCGGGAGATCGAGAAGAAAGAGCAAATACGTGAAAGCTATAAAAGTGAGGAAGCAAATACAGCAGGAACAATAAAAAGGGACTGCAGTGGTGGAACAGTTGCTGTCTTACCTTATAATTGACATTTATGCTGGCAGATGTCGGTGGAAAATCCAGTAACCATGGCACAATCACCTGCACTATGTGATACACAACATGATCCAAAGCTACTATTAACGTTATTGCAATGAAATATAATGTTACCACAACCAGTGCTATGAAGCAAGAGGTACATTCATCACTTGTTATTTTGTATCTCGTGAGATACTTTTTATTTTTAGCTGTCTTTTTGTTGCCAGCAGGAGTCACTTTATCTAGGAGTTCTTTGGAAATGTAGCCATTATCAAACTGAACTGATGTCAGATAAGATTTCAAGTAGCGTGCAGATTCAAATATTAGTAAAGCAACAAAAATGGCAGCAAGGATCCGGTTTGACAACAGTTTGTATTCTTTTATCAGGTCCCTGGCATGTGAGAAGTTGACCTCTATCTGCCCAATCATCTTAGTAAACCTGCTTTTGACTTCTGACACATTAACATGTGTGAAATGATCTAACTTCCTCAAGTTGGTGACGATGCTCAAGTCTTCCCTTTTCACTTTGATGGCTTCCTCAACAAGGTCTCGCTTTGCTTTGTTCAACGGTTCAGATGAGTTCAGTAAAGTCTTGGTAAAACCCTCAGCCGTGCACTTCAGGATGCGTGCGACCGCACCGACATTCACTGTGATATTAGGGACGACGTTCAAAACTAAAATCATGACAGAGGCCGAGATGAGGAGTTTACGTCCCTGTTTGGTGCAGACGGTGGGCAGAGTCATGGTGAGCACGCAGCGCAGAGGGTGACACAGGAAGGAGACCAGGAACATGGCCACACTGTAGATGCAGGTGGTCTGAATCGACGCTTCATCGTTGTATTTCAGAGTGTTTGACAGCCAGTGATGAAGCAGGCCGCCAGTGATAATGGCGAGTGTGATACAGAGAGTCAGTAGAGTCAGGACGTGTCTGCCAGCAGGTGCAGGTGCAGAGTAAACATCCCAGAGATAAAGCAGGACAGATTTTAGAGCCTGTCTGCAAGATCCTGTTCTGTTCCTGAGGAGAAAAAAAACCCCACAATTGTTTGACAGTGATTTCTTGCAAATAAATGTAAGCCTGGTGAATTTAAGAAGATTTGGCGTGGTTTTAGAACCTTTCTGGAGACTGCAACATAGTACTCCTTTTATATTCATCTGTGTTATACATTGTTTGTACATTGATTGTTTCATTCCCCTCTTCCAACTGTAAACTGCAAATTCCTCTTTCTTTGAATAGGTGTAAATTAGTAGTCGAAGGGGTCGGTAGGTGGACGGGAGGGATGTGTTTGCAGTGTGAGGGGCAGATGGTGAAGGGAGGGAGGGAGTGGTGGGCTGATCAGGCATCTATGAGAATATATTTTTGCACATTGTTGCATTATTCAGCACTGTAGGGATGTTACGTTACAAAATCAATTACAACTTTTTTTCATAAATGTGAGTTAAATGTGAAGCTACTTCAACCAGCAGAGTGTTTGCTTAGCTTAGCATAAAGACTTAAATCAAGGGGAAACAGTTGTAAGAAAAATACACCTACCAACACCTCTGAAGCTCTCTCTTATATCTTGTTTAATCCATACAAAAGTTTAAAAACAACAAGTTGTGGTTTGATGGAGCATTACCGAACTTGCTGCTGGCTTCAGCTTCAAATCACATGGACATGAGTGTGGTATTTATTTTCTCATCCAACTCTTGGCAAGACAGCAAATGAGCACAGTATCCAACTATTACCATGTGTGAAGATACAGTTATATAACTTGTAACTCCCTGTAAAAACCCCAATTTATTTTTTTCTCATGTAACTCTCATCAAGAAAACAAATCAACCATTTTGATGTCAAATGATTTCTACAAACTACACAAAATGAAAAACTCAGAAGTAGATCAATTCGACAAAAGATCATTTCTCACATGGAAATTATTACTGTGAGCCACAATAAATGTAAATCAATAATAATATTTGTTATATAGCCACAGGATTAACTAGATAGATAGATAGATAGATAGATAGATAGATAGATAGATAGATAGATAGATAGATAGATAGATAGATAGATAGATAGATAGATAGATAGATAGATAGATAGATAGATAGATAACAAATAATTAAACATTAAGCAGTTCTTACCTGAGAGGGTTAATAACGGTCCCTGTGACGGACTTCATTCTGTCTATGAAAATATGAGTTTAAGGAAAAACAGGACTGGGAAGTGATGAAGGATGGAAGTTAAAAAGGAGGAACTTCTCTGAACAGTCACTGTCATGTTAGTGTTTGTTGGTCGCCTATCAGTTCCCTCGAGGGAAATGAAAAGACCATAAACCATACGTGACACAATATCATATGGAGAGACATGATGTAATCCCACATACAGTGTGACACTGGTCACGCTGACACGAGTGCATTTTCAGAATGATATAAGATTTAGTAATTGAATATAATTTGTAGTATTTGTTTCACTCACTGTGTTGTGTTGGCACCGGTGTCATCACACATCCAAACATTTTTAATAATTACACAACATGGCTATTTCTCTGTTCAATTCTGTGGAGAAAGCTAAATAAGTTTGAGATAATTATTCAAGATGTACACTTTAAAGACGAGAACGTAAACTAAATTCACAGGGCCTTTGCTCTCTTATCAACCTCGTTCCAAAGAGCTGATATAACAATGAGAAGAAAACGCTGAATTTATTTTAATATATAATTGTTGAAAATGATTTAAAAAAAAAAAAATACATAATACAGACAGAGAATTGTATAAATGTTTAACAAAAACTCCATAAAACATGTTCGTCAGGGGTCGTTAGATTAGACAATGATAAAAAAAGGAGTCCCTTAAGAAAAAAATTTGGGAACCACTGACTTCTACTTCTAGTCTAAAATAACTAAATAAATAACAGATCATCAAATCATACGTGTTAATTTAAATTTTTCACGTTATTTTTTTAAATTAATACAAATGAATGTGTTATATTTGACACCAAACTGGGGAGGCAGCTTGGTTCCCCTTAAGATCCCCCCCGTATACCACCCCTCTGTATAGCTCGACACTAGAGGGCTTTTTTACATTCATCTGCTGAACGGGGGGGCAAGTATTTTGGCGGTTTGGCTGAATTCAGGCTCATTATTAAACTGTTTCCTGTTGTCTGTGCTTTCCTCCAGTTTGTCACACCAATATAAAACTGCTGACTCATGCACATTATTTCAATGTGACAGTTACTCCGTGCTTTTGTGGATTTGCTTGTTACTGTACTAGGGCATTATACAATAACATTGGCCTTTAGAACTCTTATATTATCATCACTATCTTTTAATCTGTTGTCCAATACTGTTTCACGATAGCTTACAGTAAAACTGTCTTCAACCTTTAGTGAGGGCAGAAGAGACTTTGTTAGAGCTATATATTTCTTACACACACTCCACAAACACACACCCACACAAACAGTGTCTGTATTAGTCAGTGATGCAGAGGTGTTTAAAATAAGAAAGAAATCTTTTGTCACTTGAAAGAAACGGGATTTAATGTAACAGTAGTTCCAGTAATGATCAATACAAACGTCAATTACATTTATTATGAACTGAATATTAAAATATGTCTAATCTGTCTTAAGATCCTCAAAAAGCAAAGACATAAATCAGCTTTGGTTGAAATCCGTGTTGTCAAAAAAGTTGTTTGTGTCGTGCAGACAGACGGGTACATCCTGTACTGGTCTGTGGTTTTTTTTGTTAAGTGTTTTATAGTTTTGTATTTAAACACCACAGGACCTTTCACACTGACCCTGCTGGCACTCAGTAACCACCACAGTCTTGCACAAGTTAACCATTGTTGTCAGGCCTCGTGACTTCAGACAGTTTACTACACCAAACAAACATTGTAAGGCATTTACAACTGTGTGCTCTCTCTGGCTCTCTGTGTGAGTGTGTGCAGAGGCCAAAATGTTTTAAATATGTGTGAAACCTGCAGCATTAGCGACAGTTAATTAAAACCTGAGGACTGAGGTTTACATTCTGTTGTTGGTTTCTATTAAAAGCTAAACGTTTACACAGTTAAGCACTTGCAAATATTCTGATAACAAGGTCTTTCTCTTAGCAATAAACTATGTTCACTCATTATAAGAAATACTGAGACTACATGCAACTAAATTAACACAGTACAAACTAAATTTATTTATAACAGCACATCTGAATTTAAATCACTCTGTAACAAAATTTACACATTCATTAGTAGGGATTTACAGTCTAATGTAGAAAAGATAGATTTAAAATATTTGTGCTGAGGCTTTGGCAACTAAACATGCACCATATATATATTACATAAACACATAACCTGATCTCTTTGTGATTTGAACCAAAAAATATATAATTTAAAAGAATTATTCACAGAGGTCTCTCTCATTCTTCCAGCAGATGTCAGCCTAGTAGCATCAAATACGAACAGCACACTCTGCAAGCTCTTAAGAGCTGTTGTTGAGGTTAAATGTCTCTTCTGTACAGTTTTAAGAAGGCAGAGAGTAAAATAATGAAGCTTGTTTTTAACTTAAAACATGAAAGCCTGCCAAAACTTACATTCACAGCATGAAATCTTGACTCTTGACAGCCTACAAAGACACTTGAATATAAGAAACGTATTAAATTCACAGGTAACAGCGGAAGCTCCCAGAGCGTTCTGACATTTTAATGAGTCTACGTCTACCAGACAGACTTTTGTCCCTGTTTACTGCTCATGCTGAGATTTGGTGAGTGATCAGAGCGTAGCATTGAGCGACTGGACAGATGAGAAGTGCACATCGGTAAGAACAGCGGACTTGTTGATGGGGTGAGCCCATTCTGGATACGTGTTCAAGTTAAACATAGCAACGCCCCACGTGTTCATGGCCAGAGAGACTGAGAGGACACCCAGGATATTCATGACAAAACCGGTTTTCACCTGAGAAAACAGGGGGCAGGAAACATGAAGGGTTGTGATGAAGGGTAACAATATATTCAAGTGCTGATGTAAGTATCTTACCATGTCTTTGACCATGAGGTGTCCTGACGCAAAGGCGATGGAGTTGGGTGGTGTGGACACTGGCAGCATGAAGGCATATGAACATCCTACTGTTGCAGGTATCATGAAGTATAGAGGGTTCACTGAGACGTGGATAGCCTACAGAGACAAAGACAAAACAAAGAACAACACATTTTTAGATAAGGATGTAGATAATTTAAAAAGATCTGTACTGGATGGTTTTATTCCACAGTTTTTCCACAACTAATGCAAACTTATCTTAACCAACAAAACTTCTATCAAATTCTAGCAAAGGTGTCCAAAGATACCAAATATGCCGGACAAGACTATTCCATTTTATGTAAAATGGTGCAGCTATAAAGAAACTGCCTTGTTTCTGAGTTTCTCTTGAAAAATGTGATGTTACATTATAACAGTCTACCGGCATGCAACATGTTCACAATGACAATGCTAAAATGGTGACATTGAGCTGGTGTAATGTTTAACATCCTAGTTTGGTGTGTTAGCATGCTTACATTTGCTACTAACACAAAGTACAGCTGAGGCAGATTGTTGAGTCATTAGTTTTGCAGGAATTTGGTAATAATAGGAACTCGACTGATTTAAAGTCTCACCAGATGGTCAAAATGAGTTATTACTTATATTATTATGGTACTTCCTGAGGGGCACATGAATGTGTATACCAAACTTCATGGCAAATAAATACATTTCACTCAAATATGAACTATATAGTGGCAACACACAGTGCCTGAATTGGACCGAAAAGGTGCCAATACCCTAATGCAGCACAACCTGAACTCTAAACACAACATAACCCTAATCCTAATTCTCAATCCAGTTTTTAATCCACTTTCACTTGCTGTTTTTTTTTTGCATTAAGCTATTTATTTACACTGACGTACAGTTTAAGAGCACCTTGCGGGGGGGGGCATTTCAGAAAGAAAGACAACAGAAGAAAAATCAGGGAATCACTAAAGTCATTACACTTTTCCTTTCCTCTGGGGTTGAATGAATGTATTATTTAATGGATGCCATTCAATGGCTGTTGAGATATTTCAGTCTGTACCTAGAGACACATTGCCAGGTTTGCTTTGGAAGGGGTAATTAAATGGTCAGTGCAACCAAATTACATAAAAAATTTTCTCATTTACATCTAGAGGTATGCAGCCATGCAGGTTGATTTGGTCTAATTTGTCCAGGTTTACCCATTCCTGAAATGTATGCCTATTTAAAAATTACATTTAGATCAATTAAAAGCAACGTATCTTTTCAGAAGGAAGTCAAAAGTATGAGAAAGGCTACATATCACTAAAGGCAAGTGAGAAAATATGTTTGATTTCTTTTGTATTATTGGTGAACTGACCCTTTAAGCTAAATTCTGAATGTTCAGTAAGTTTTTAATATAAATGAGAACTCAGGACAAAACTAAACGTCCTATACATCCTGTAAACAATTCTCTGAGTGCGTACTTCGCAGTATAGGGACCACTGCAAAGTACAAACGCCCCAGACAATGATTACTAACAACAGCAGTTAATGTCCAACAGGCTACAGACATAAGAACATCTATCGCAAGAGTTTAACAAGCCTACTAAGCCCTTGACTAACACAAAGGACGAGGTCAGAAACAAACCCTGTCTCCTGTCCAGTTTATGAGTTTCTACTGATTTGTCTTTGTAACTGAGTTTGTCTTCCTCTCTGTCATCTTCATCAGTGACTTACATTGTGTGCTCATATGAAACCTTACTTGTACTACAAGGCTTTCAAAGTTCATTACAGCTATATTGTCTGTCCTACATTTCAATAAGCATGAGTTTGTAATATTCAACTCAGTGGAAACAGGAACGTTCCTGCTTAACTTCACAGGACTTTGAACCTTTTTGTAAAACATTTTAAGTCCTATAGTGCAGGCATTTCAATAACAGGAACACACAGATTATTCAATATAGAGTCTAACGCTCTATATTGAATATCTTTAAGTTTACCAATCTTACCAGTTCAGCAATGACGGGTAAAAATATGATAATTGTGGCAGTGTTGCTGGCGAACTCCGTGAAGCAGGCCAGAAAAGCAGTGATCAACATCACAGCTGCAGCGGGAGGAACCTCGGCCAAAGGGTGGAGGTGGCCTCCGATCCAGGAGGCGAGTCCAGACTCCTGCCAAACGCCACAAGATCGGGGTTAAGGGGTCAAAGATCAAATCACAACATAACAAAGCAAAGCAGAACCAAACAGAGCCGCAGAGCAGTCACAGAGCCGAAAGGAGAGAGGAGGGATACATTTATTGAATGACCATTATGACATGTACACTTTTACAGTTTGGAGTCAGAAATCTGAGAGGAAACTTAAGCAAACAGCAAAATCTTAAAGGAATAGCTTTTGGGACGATTATTCACTTTGTTGCCTAGAGTAAAGAGAGAAGATTGACACAGTACAGTAGTATATTAAGTACTACTACTTTAAATGTAACAACTTGTAAAACCACAGCTTTTTGTTCTATAGTTCTGTTTTTGTAGGGAATAAACAAATATGATATAATATGGGAGTTACAGAGCTGTTTCCACTTGTTTCAAGTCACTATGCTAAGCTAAGCTAATCACCTGCCAGAGGTGGGACCTAGTCATTGTTTTGTAAGTCACAAGTTAAGTCTCAAGTTCATGCGCTCAAGTCCAGAGTCTTAAACTTTGAGTTTTGAGTCCTAAACAAGTCATAATACACTCTTCACCAAATGTAATGCCATTTTAACAGCTGAACAGACAAAACAATGTAATCTTTGGTATACACTTTTTGGTGCTCAGTAACTTTAGTTCTTCTCTCCTCTAACTTGACTGGATGCTGTCGGATTGATTCAAACAAAGTGGATCTGGGGAATTCAGTGTCGACTTGCTGGGAATTAATGATGTTAGTTACTTCAGGACATAAAGGGAAATTCTTTGATTTGTGTCACACTCTTTAAATAACACACGTTTTAATTCTTGGGCTTGGGAGAAAGTATCCAGTATTAAGTAAGTAAGAAGGCTCAAGTCCAAGTGAAGTCACAAGTCATGGGTGTTAAAGTCCAACTCACTTTGCAAGTCTTTTTTGATTTTTGAATTTTGATTTCAAGTCTTAAGTCATCAAATTTTTTACTTTATTCTGACTCAAGTCCAAGTCACATGACTCGAGTCCACACCTTTATTGTCTGCTGATTGAAGCTTCACACAGACATTAAAGTGGGACTGATCTTCTCATCTGACTCTCTGTGTATATCCCACAATGTCAAACTAGGGCCTTAAGAAACACAAGAGAAGAATAACACGTTTACCTCACAAGCTTTAGCCATAGCAAAGCCGCCTCCGAGGAGCAGAATGATATTCCAGGGAACAGAGTCTTGGGCTTTCTTCCATGACAAGAGAGGAACATAAGGAGTATTTGATGCTGGGGAAAAATATGGAAGGAAACACTTAATAAAGACCTTCTATTTAACATTCATGTAAACATTTTTCAGATTTAATATGAAGCTGTAATCATGAAATATTCAGTATATGTCATGTTTTATTTATTACAGTTTTTCCTACAGTACAGTATGAGATTTCAAGCCTCTTAATTGGTAGTTTTAAGCTGCACTTTACTATAAACAGTGTCTTGTTTACTTCCTGCACATACAGTAGGTGCATTTCACAGCTCCACAGTATTTTAATTAATGGTGTGTCTCATTTTCAAAACATTCGACAGAATAACAGAAATATGAGCGAGAACTCAAAGTGACTCAGAGGCACTACAGGGTGCAACTAAAAATATGTTTAAGAAGTACTTTAGTCAATCAGCCTTTTAAACTAAAAACTTTTGGAGTGTTATATTTCAATGTTTTCAGCTTTCTTGTATTTTATTTGTATGTTTATATTTAATCCTACATATGTTTGTGCTGATTTTAATTTAAGTTTTGGTGAGATACAGACAATTTTCCACTCTGTTAGACAATAGTTTTATTCTCCTCTATTCTAAAGTCTGACCTACAACAAGAGGGACGAATGAAGCCCACTATTTGCTTTTTTTGTGGGCCTTTTTTTTTTTTTTTGCTCGCGTGCAGTGGTTTATTTGACCAGCTGAACATAATATACACAATCGCGCACACACACACACGTGTCTCCAACACACACGAAACACGTGCGTCCAGTTTGTGCACATGCATACACACTTACACACTTACACGGACACTCACAAACAAAAGCCCCAAAGTGTGACAACATAGTTTTGAGGGATTATTGTAATCACAGAAACAGAGAAACTGTAGTTTTAGCTCCAGACAGGAAATTAATTCAGACTCTCTAATCTACATTAACATTCCTCAGCTTATTTTCAGCTTTTTGCAATAGCTGTTCTTTGAATCCTTCACAAATATTTAGTCATCGACATTAACTACCGACTTACCGTCCTGATGCAACTGGTTGCTTCCATTTTAATCTCTTATATCTCTTTGATGTTATAATATCACAATCATTATAAATAATAGATTAAATATGAGTCAGAACTGCAATATGTCAAGTTTTAACTGTTAATAGGTGTTTGAAGAGCTCACTGACCTTGAGGGTCGAACCACCAGCTCAGAGAGGGTTTCTGCGAGGGGAAGAAAAACAATATAGACACAATGATCACACCAGTGACTGCGTCTGAGACGTACCTGCAGAGCAACAATAGGAGGAAATAATTAACAGAGATTGATAATTGACAGGCGTTGCAATATATAAATTCTGTGACCATTTCCAAACAAGCAAAGTACTTTTCAGTGTGCCATTCTCACCCTTTTTTGAAGAACACAGACCACCCGGTGACAAATTTGGGATCTCTTGTGAACAGGAGAACGGCAAACAGTATAAAAAAGAAAGAAATCGCTCCCTCTGCAAAACTGAAATTGAGCATGAAGAGTAAAAGTCAGTAGAAGGCTCTGTGATAAAGAATGTACTCATTCATGAGATCTGATCTGAAGACATACACGAGTCCTCACTTTATGGGCCCTAGTTTTCTGTAATCGTCCTCTATCAGCGCCTGTGCTCTGGCCTCAGCCTGGGCTCTTTGGTCCTGTTTCTTGAAGCACAATCTGCATAAAATAAAAACACACTGTATGACACATTTCAAGAAAAGGAGAATGAAAGAGAGCACTACTTCATATTAGGAAAGTGAAATAAGAATGGTAATGGTGTTTTCCCTCATATGAAAATAAAACCATCATGACATTTTGCCTTTATTGAATTTACAGGGTGAAATGTAAGAATACCAGTCCACATTACCGTGTATTCAATCCCCCGTAGAGGAACGCGATCCAAAGCCATCCCAAAAACAGGAAGATAAGCATGAGAGGGAAAGCGAACGCAAACCAAGATCCAAAATTGATAAGGTCGCAGTCTGGAAAGTAGCTGTAAAGCAAAGACACTGTTGTCAAACTACTGGAAAATGATTGTTTCTATGATGCCAAGTTTTCACTGTTTAAATGCAGCACAGATAAAATGTCACCTTTTCAGCTGTCCAATCAGGATGAGGTTGGGCGCGGTGCCTGTCAGCGTGGCGGTGCCTCCGATACTGGCAGCATAAGGAATACAGATCAAGAATCCTTTCCACACCTTCAGCTGATACTGCGACTCGGATCGGATCTCCGCAGATGTCCTCACATCACTCTGCTCCATACCGTCCATCCTTTTGAAGATTTAAGAGACATTATTACCTTAAGTGAACAGTGGACAAGTACATGAACTCCACCAGAGTTTGATCAGCAACCTGTACTATCGAAAAAGAGGTAAAGGAAAAACATATTTTTAAGCCTTAAAATGCTAATTTCTCACCACAGATGAAGCATACCATTAAGTAATGGATCCATGTGTGCCTACTAATCTGTACTGTAATGTATTGAGATTTGTAAATGTGTAGACAATTCTGTAAGTGCAGACATACATATTCTTCTGAGGGAGGCTGCATTTACAGATTTGTCTACATATTTACAAATCTCAATACATTTGCAAATCTGAATACATATTTACAGATTCTTTTACACATTTACAAATCTGATTACGCACACACTGATTGAGATACAGTTACACAGTAGTTTTGCTACAGTAATGGCTCCATATAAACCGGCAACGTCGGTGGTGAAAGCAAACAAATCTGTCCACACACTTTTAATTTCTTCTTTTTTTTGATTTGTAATCCATAGCTAACCTCAGGCTTCAAACTGGTTCTCCACAAACCACTGGGTGACGTCACGATAGGTTCACACTTGATTGATACTACTCTCATTAAGTTTACTTAATTCCTTTTTTTATGAAATGTTTTTTTGTTTCATAGCCACTGGAGAGGAGCTTAAGAGCCACATGCGGCTCCAGAGCTGAAGGTCGCCTATGCTTTGACATTTTGCAAAATACCCTTATTCTCTTTCTTGCTGAGCATTAGATGAAAGAATTGGTACCATTGGCAGTATATATATATATAATGGCTTAAACCTGCGTTCTATGTAAAGCCAATAGAGCAGGGGGCAGCTCCATTGGCTGCAACAACACGCTGATACCGTTCACTCTAATGGAGAAATTACCTCACTTCTCACTTGATTTATTAGCTCAATAAGCAGTTTTCTAATGACTATTTCCCACCTGAAACTGTTTCACAAATATATTTTAGTGTACTCTTTATCTGTAATACGAGATTGTGTGTAACCAGGTGAGCCGCCATTGTTTCTTGCTACGGACGAGTCAAAACCGTGCACTCAGCTTGCACCTCCGCTGGCTCTGACAAACTGGCATGGCGACGACCTTAATGCCAAACTCAAGGCTTCGAAATGGTAATCCAACGGTTATGTCTTGTGTATTAAATCCATACAAAAACTTAAGTACAACAAATGTCAAGTTGTAGTTTTAAGGTAGGTTATGTGCTGTAACTATTTCTTGGATTTTGTCACCTTCAGACAGCTAAGCTGTTTCCAGCTGTTGCACCAAGCTTACGTTCCCCTGACTATAGATTCATTTTCATTACAAACGGAAGTGGTATCAATCTTCTCCTCTAACTCTTAGTAGAAAAGCGGATAAACATATTTTCCAAAATGTCGAACTTCCTTTAAACAACACTATCAAAACACCATCTGAGTTAGATGTTAATGGATGTACAGGATTACGTCAAATGATCTCCGTGTGTTTCTTACCCGTCTATTGACAGTATTTGCTTCTCCGAGGGCACTGAGGGCAGTGAATGCAGCTTCACAGCAGACTGACCTGAAAGAAAGTAAAGCAAAGAGTGTGTGTTTGTTTACATGCAACCATGAAATAAAAAAAGCTGGTTGTGGTATGAACACAAGTCAAATCTTAAGTTAAGTTAAGTTAAGTTAAAGCTCTTTGGAAAGGTTTTTTTTATATATATATATATACTTAATATATGACTTCTAGTTCATCCAGCATCACAAATCTATTACCACTTGAATACTGACTAACTTTGTTGTGTATTGGAAAAACTGTACAAAGTTCACATCTTAGATCACATATTAAAGCCTCATGCCGACAATGTTAAAACAATAAAACATGTTTGTGTAAAACTTAAATTGGCATTAATTAATTTCTCTGACATTTGGGGGCAGCGGGAAAAGCTGTAAACCCAACACTGACGTCTAATCACCTTATAAAGTTGATGTGGCATATTTTCTTGGAAAAAGCTGCTTTTTTAGACATCCAGCAGTTACGGAGCAGCATTATTATTCATTTGGAGTCGTGTTTCTGGCCACTTGGTAAATGTTAGTCCAACATTCCCCTCTCTCCTTTAGCTGTTTTGTTTTCCACTGCCTCCTAGGGGAAAGTATCTGGCTCATTAGCTACTAAATGCTGCACTATGTTCACCAGCTAGTTGTTATAATTTTGTCTGTCTGTCTGTCTGTCTGTCTGTCTGTCTGTCTGTCTGTCTGTCTGTCTCTCTGTCTCTCTGTCTGTCTGTCTGTCTGTCTGTTTGGTGGACAGGTAGTGTACAGCGGGTATATCAAGGTGCTGAACAGCTGCCTCTTGGTACTGAAAGGTTGAAGAGAGTGGTGAGAGTGAACCAAAACATTAAAGTTGCCATAAAACCCAAAGAATGACCTAACTGACACTAAACTGGTACTCCAAAGTTGGCGATAATTCTCTGTGGGTTTTAGGTAATTACACTCAGCGAGAGATCATACTCCATGTGTAACATACAACGTACCATTTATTATGTCAACCTCAGGATCGTCTTTGGACTTGCACTTCTCTTTCAGGGTCTCCAGGTCTCCGAACAGACTCTCCAGGATGGCATTAGCAATAGGCAGCATCATGGCTGTTGTGGCGGTGTTGCTGAGCCACATGGACAGGAAGGACGAGGTCATCATCATTCCCATTATGAGCCTAGGAAAACAATTAAATCCACAATTTCAAAACTAACACTAATCATGGCTGCTGACTTGAAAGGTGTTCTTCTTGGATTAAGGAGCAGTCTCACGTACAGGTTAGTTATATTCTTTATTTTCTGTCTATAAATCCCATGAAAAGTCCAAAACCCGTTTCTCAACACTTTCCGACTTCCCTACCTTGTCTGCCACGCACATGAATATGAATATAATATATATTTTCCTAAAACAGCTTCATTTTCAGCTGTGGATTAATACACATTGGGTATATTACCAGTTGCAGAATGGTGCCTGTGGGACAGACTCAGAATAAACTACAGTGCCTGTGTTCATCATGATAAAAGGACCCCAGGAAGACTAGCGATCACTTTGTGGAAACTAATAGGGATCCAATTTAAGAATAAGAATAAAGATTAAAAGAATATGCCACCCAGTGCAACTATTTGGCTCATTAATGCACTTTTATTCGTTTTTGGCACAGACACATAATCTATATCAGGCTTTGGATGAACAGACAATACTTGTGAGCAGGAGTTACTTTTTGGTTTTGGCCTTCATGACATTTGAAATATACAGAAAACAACCAGATTAATCCTTTAAATTAAGTTTTCTCACCATGCTGGTTTTACTCCGACAATGCTGAGCACCTTCAGGGCTATTCTGCGATGCAGGCCCCACTCCTCGATGGACGAGGCCATCACAAGACCGCTCAGGAAGAGAAAATTGGTTTCGAGGAAGTACTGAGGGCATACTTTCTTGGATGGAAGAATTCCCAGTGTCGGGAAAAGGCAGACTGGAAGCATGGCAGTGACAGCCAGAGGAAGAGCCTCTGTGCACCAAAACGTTGCCATGAGCACCACCACATAAAGACATTTTCCCTCCTAAAAGATAAACAACGTGCGGGTTGTTAACATTCAACTTCGAGAAACAAGAGAAAGGTGTTACAGGAGAAAATGGAAACAAATTAACAACATAATTCTGTTCAGGTGATGGATTATACAATATGTTTTTGGCAATTTCAGTCATACAGTGCTTCCTTTAAAATAAATAAAAGTACTTTGTGTTTGTGTGTGTCAGAGGGAGAGAACGTGCATCCATGTGTGGGTGAGAAGCATGTTTGTGTATTTAAAAAATAAAATAAAATGCATAAAGAATTTTGTGTGGTATTAATAAGTTATTATCATTAGGCCAATATAATAAAATTATTATTGCTTTAATGGCTGCCAATCAATATGATTATATAATAAATATTTTAGATGTAGGTTTATATATAGAGAGAGGGAGGTTGTTTAATAAATCAATCAATTTGATTAACTGATTCATTATTTATCCTATGAAATATCAAAAACATACTGTGACAATATGCAATCACCACTTCCCAAAGCTCAAAGTGTTTTATACTGTAGGTCTTGTTCTGTTCAACCAAAAGTCCAAAAAGATTTTTTAGTTTACAATGATACATAAAGAGCATAAAGAGAATATTTTGCATTGTTTCACGATTTGTACTTCAATTAAATGACTTAAATTATTAATTAGTTATCTAAATGCTTGCAGATTATTTTTTGTTCATCGAAAAACTGCTCTAAATCGATCTAATTGAGACATTAAGGTTGTAAAGTCGCATATTACATTGTTATCTAACAATGGAGATTTATATTATATTTGTTCACTTAATGTTGGAAAACTCTTACTAAATTAAAACAAATACAGTCATCACTGAACAAATAAGAGAATTAGTTTGATTTTAAACACATGGGGTTACTGTGCTCTTTAATTGGCTGCACAGTCAGAATTAATGTGATTCATTCATCGTTCACGGAAAATGCTGGAAAGTGAAATATTACAGCGAAAATTTTGCCTCACCTTCTCTGGAAGAGTAAAGAGTAAAGGCAGAAACACCAGTGGGGTGAAGAGGAGAATCAGCTGTTTGTGGATGCACCACAGCTTCTTGGATAAAACAGATATTTCCATCTCCAGAGGGAAGTTTTAGCTCCGTTTTGGGAAAAAGGGAGTTCCAGACTGGCTGAGAGGAGCCAGTTGGGACGCGCTTTGAAGCCTCTGGGTCGAGTACAGAAAAGATTAACCACAGGCTGAAACACCTCCTGGGGTGACAAAAAGTTCAGAGAGACGGTCAGCTGTTTGTCATGTTTCCCAACAGCAGGCCTCTCCCACAGGAAGAGTGATGCATCTTAACTTCACCAAAACCTTCCTTTTTTTTTCTGTGCACTTTTGAGTCTACGGTGGCCCTGAGAGCTCAACACTGCAACTTAAGAAAACACTTGCAAATTAAGATGAAATGCATTAATTTGACAATAAATGTGCAGCATTTAGAAAAACAAGCTGCAAAAGACCAAATGCTTAAATAAAGAGCAAAACCAGAGATATAAGACACATATATTTATAATATTAAAAAACTAAACATATTTTAAAAGGCAAATAAACAAAAATCCAAGGGTCATAATCAGTGTTAGTAATCAGGCTAGTTACTAATTTTTTTTATTTGTTACTCATTACTCTTTTCAAATATTATTACTTTACTTATTACCTCCTGCCAACAGTAATTAGTAACACTTCCCGTTATATTACTTTTCTGCTCCTTCTCCCCAAAATTCAGACTTAAAAAGTTTAAAATCTAGTTCTGTTAGTTAAAACCAAGGGAATATTTCCAGCATTTCCTCTTTTTTTCATCTTTTCCTCCACGATTACAGAAATGAATCCAAACATGTGATTGAATTGTTGGATTTACAATCAGTCAGGCGGTGCCAACAACAGTGATGTTGTAACTACTTATTTTTAGCATTATTACTGAAATGTATTAGTCATTACTTAAACCACTAGTTGCTGGTAAAAAATAATCACTGTAATATTGGTTGAATATTATTACAAGCAATGAGTACAGCATCACTTTAAAGGTCCAGTGTGTAACATTTAGGAGGATCTAATGGCAGACGAGGATTATAATATTCATAGGTATGTTTCCATTAGCTGATCACCTGGAGCCACTCCGAGCATACACATAAAAAGATACAAAATACAAAAATTCCCACTAATCTTAAACAACATCCAACAATTTGAGAGCAGACATACTGAAACATCACAAATCCAGAGGGACTGAGGGAACAACAGCAGGATTATGAGCTTCAATTCATGGCATCACTTTCATGAGGAAAAGCAGAAAGAAAAACGAGCAAACTTGGTAACTTAAGCCTGAAGAGCTGGAACAGAATGGGACAATTCTTGACAAAATCTGCAAATCCTGTAAGAAATCAGGCAACCACGAGCCCTCAATTGCGATCAAGGTCTTACATGCTATAACTTTGTGATAAATGCTGTCACACATAACAAAAAAATGCTCAGTATTGCATCTGCAACCTCTTACTTACTTATCTTTAACACAAAGAACATGGTTGTTTACAATCTTAGTTTTAACGGATGTTCAGTTCTGGTGTCTGGTTGTTAACTGTAAATGAAAACACTAAATAAGAAACTGCAAAAGCTTAAAAAAGCCTTACATCCTGTCATGTCTGTTCCTGTTTACAGTCAACTTCTCTGGTTGAGTAAAATAAAATCACTTATAACTGATTTAGAAGATTCGTCTGTCTGTGTCAATGATCTCTCTAAAGTCTCCAAACAGGTCGGACAGTCAGCTTCACCATTTGCACTGCTGTTGTCTTTTTTAAGTGTTCTAAGACCTGATACGAAGAGCTTGAATAACCTGAATGACCACAGGAAGAGACAAAACAGTACTGAATAAGAACCAGTCCAGTGAATTATTCAACTGGAAAAATAACTAACTAAAGCTGGAGACAGGCGGCTATTAGAGGAAATAGTGCCTCAAAGCAGAGCGGAGCTCGCCTACAGTCTGTAAACATGAATGATAGCTAAGATAAAATGACTTATTCATTATAGAAAGACAGAGTTTCTGATCTTTCCATGACTTATTTTACTGCGTTTGCTTAGTTTAGTTGTTAATTCTGTGGGCCTGCACAGCATTGTTATCCTTTGTCCCACGTATTGTGCCAATATCCCACACTTTGGTTACCACTGCCTGCTTTTTCTAAAATCAGATGTTTGTCTGGTGGCTGTCAGGCAAGCAGGGAAGGCTGTCATCACCAGGCTGTGGTTAATGTCAATCAACCTGCGCACACATGGGCCTAGTGCAGGCTAATCTGCCACAATCTTTGCTACACTACGCCCAACAGGGAAAATTCCAGGTTACCACAAAATAACTAGTTATGCAGATATTTGACGGTGAAGTACCACAAAGAAACGGAAATGCAGCTACAACAAAGACTGGTAAACTAACTGGGTGAAGACATTGCAAGGCGACGATGGTATGAGACCGTAAGAACTGCAAAGCTTCCTTTTATGATTACTTAGAGTGGGAGATTTGCATTCGAGCTCACTTCACATGCTAAAGGTCTTACCTGTAACCTGGATGGTGTATTGTGTGCTGAGTAAACCAGAGGGAAAAGCTTAGAGGTGTTACAACCTAAGGGGAATAGAAATCTTTATTTTTTTAAGTTAGACATTCAATCAAAATGTCATGTCCCACATTTTCCCCCACAAAAAAAAACCCCAACTGACACACACCAAAATTTTCCATTCTCTGTGAGTGTGGAGTTGTTGTCTGAGGATTTGCCAGTAGGTGGTGATCTGTGCACATTTTCTTTTCCCACATTGCACCTGCTGAGCTGCTCTCAATGAGATGCCTCGCCTCTTGTCTCAAATCAATATTTTCAAAAGGCAGTGATCCATTTAATGGTTTTCCTGTATTCTTCTGGCTTTGTAAAACCGGGGGAGAACTCAGCGGTGGATATTCACTCCATTGTGATGATTGGTGGGTTTTGCTCCAGGTGTCTGCAGAACAAAAGCTGCTGGATTTCTTTACATCCCCGAAAAGGAGAAGTCAGTACTAACAGTTTTACATCCTGGTTTGCACTTTCACTTCATAAACAGGAACTATACTCTAGAACTACACTACGCCGATAAATTAACCACAGTTTACATCTGATAAAGGTTTTCTGAAATTACGTTTTTGGTGTCTGCGGTGTGACTGTGTTCAAGCTGGTATCGTTGTCTTTGAGCAACGGATTTATGGCAGAAACTACAAGTGTAACAGGCGGTGTGTGAAAGCCACTAGATGAATGATATAGTTTTGCTGAGTTTCGTCATAAATAATCAAAGTAAACATTTCATTCGATGGACAAAAAAAGAGGACCTGTATCTGGAAAGATCCAACGGTGTATACGTTTATGGATCTGTATTTAGATTTGTATATCATATCATATTATAGCATATAAAAATAAAATCTAAAATCAGTCATGAGAACTGATACTGGATGAATCGAAAAACATAAATATTCTTCTCAGTGCTGCAATATTTACATCTCTGCTGCGGTCGTGTGCATTTACATAATGTACATTTATTTATTTACCATCAAAACGTCTTGTTTAAACATGTGATTAAGTAATTAACACAGAATAACATAAAGAAATGGCTCATGTTTGGCAAATTATTTGGTGGTCGCTCTCCCCTATGATAATGCTTCAGCTGTTTTTAACAATAAAAAGTATTGATACGTGTGATCTATGACCTGGTATTGAAACCAAAGCTGAACTTTGTAATTTAAACTGTTGGTAAATGTTATCACATGTCAGCTCTACTAGAGTTAACACTGTGTTTACACCTGGAGCAGTGAATGTGTGGTGCGTGGTGGTTTGTGTTTCTCTCTCAAAAAAAAAAAAAGCCCTACATCCTTTCATGTCTGTTCCTGTTTACAGTCAACTTTTCTGGTTAAGTTGGCTTATTTAATAGTAATAATAAAAAGGCAACAAGTGGGTTGGTTCAGCACAGGATACATTTTAGTAATCTGAGGACAATTTACTGGAAAAATACTCAAATATCTTTGAAAGCAAATAAAATACAATAAATAAGTAATAAAAAAATCATCTTGTAAGTGATTTGGGGGATTTGTTTGTCTGCGTCAATGATCTCCATGAAGGTCGGACAGTCAGCTTCACCACTTACGCTGCCGTTGTCTTGAAGACCTGATACGAAAAGCTCGAATAACCTGAATGACAGCAGAAAGAGACAAAACAGCACAGAACAAAATGATTAAACTGGAAAGAAGCTATGTGCTATGTGTGTGTAAAAAAACCTAAAAACCCCCAAAAGCTGGAGATGTGCTGTCGTTAGAGGAAATGGTGCCTCAGAGCAGAGGTGAGCTCGCCTACAGTCTCTCTGTAAACATGACTGAACAACAGCCCTCACACTGTAAGAGGTGTCAGATTCCCACACTGGGACAGTCTGCATTACTCACATACAAAATACAAGATGTTATACACTAAATATACACGAACACCTCTGATACTGTGTATATCCTTTTATATAATACACTCCTGGCCCACTTTATTGTGTACACAGTCTAATGCAATCAGCTCAGCCATAAAATATAAAAATGTTCTGTTGTTGTTGATTGTTTTAATTTAATGTTTATGATTGAGGTTGTAGTGTGGTTATATTGGACTGCAATATGAGGTGTTAGTAAGATTCCTCCCACCTTCATGTTTGTAAATGTGGGTGTGAAAAATATCAGAAACAAGACTGCAAACTACAACCTCGATGATAGAAACTGATTTAAAGTTAAATGAATACAGTGTCAATAAAAACTGACCATTATTGTCTTCATAAAGGCAGAATTTATGCCTGCGTAGGGTTGGATTGCGTTCGATTTCACAGGATTTCACCTGGTAAAGAGGCCACTGAGTGTAACATTTATTTTTAAACTATGTGACAAAACAACAAGTTAAATAACAGAATTCAATTATTTGTCTGACGCTGCTATCGGCGGGACTTCGAGTTTTATTTAGATCATATTTTAGGTTATAATAAGTACTTTGTTAATGTTGCCATAGTTACAATAATAAACACTTGGTTGAGGTGCTACTTTGATTGTCAGTTGGAAATATTAAAACAGGAAATGAACTGCGGTCTCGGGTGATAAAGTGCAACATCTTGTTGAAAAGTTGAATGTAAAACACACGACTTTACTTCAAGTCTGACACAATATAAGTTTTTACTAATATAACTGTCTGCCATTGCCAGCTAGCCCGTACAGTAGTATTACACAGTAGTTACACCACTTGCAATGTGGCAGTCGCGCTGTTTTTTTTTTTCTCTGTTTCTGGCTGTTGTCGTCACAAATGTCTAATATCTAACATTTGGATAACGCTAAGCTCGGCATCCTTATAAGGGTCAGTAACTGGGGGCCACTGCCCAACGTCGTCAATCGAACTACCCACATGGCTGCTCTCACTCACAGAGTCGCTTGCTGTAATGGCGGCGCCGCTAGATGGCGAAACACGCAAACCGTTAGCTGGATTCACGTATAAGTTATCAAGTTACAACCTGAAACATTTTATGTTTATATAACAAGATAAATAGTATATTGTTGTGACAAGAAAAGTTTAACGTTATAAGAAATATTTGTTATAACAAGAAACAACATTAAAATATCTTGTCATAATGTGAAAAACATGTAACAATATGTTTGTAACAATAAACTTTACATGTTTTAACGTGATACTGATCCGTTTTTTATTTTCCTTGTGTGGAAACACTCTTTTGGGTAAGTTTCTGTACCTAAAAGAGCAACAAGTTGTCGCCATCTAGAACAAGATAAATATTGTCATAACAAGAAAAGTTCCTTGTTACAATCTGATAAGGTTGTATGTTGTAATAACGTAAAAATGTGAAAAACATCCTGTTATAACAATAAACATTTCACTCTATAAGGTGATATTCTATGGAAGCAAAATGCTGCCGTATCTGTCAACCTCAAAACTAAAAACATGTTTTTTTCTCTTTGCGACTTGATGTATCTCTCGTTGCGCAAGAGTCAGTCAGTCGTGTTAATGTCGACTGCAGCTCCTCTAAATGCTGCAGCAAGGCCCTCCTGAAATATAGACTCGATTTTTAAGATTCTCTCATATGTTTTTAAAGCCCTACATGAGTTGGCACCGGCGCCGTCTTTTGATCAGTCCCTCTTCTCCCTTCCACATTCCCATTTATTCTTCATTTGGATCATCTATTCGTAAACCACTTCATGCTCTTTATGTTGAATTGACCATGTTTGCTTCATAACCTGTAACAAATACATACAGTGCGTGCAGATAAAAAGAGTCTATTTACCAAAATGCTAATTAAAGATAAAAGGATTTTGGCCAGGCCCACTGCCACATAGCCCGTAATGCTCCACATGACGGGCAGGTCCTCAGCTTCATTGTGGCAGAGCGAGACGTGATGAGTCGTGTTCAGCACATTTGTCACTGTTGTCAGGTCAGCTTGGGACGCACATACTGTATTTAGACAAAAATAGAAGAAACCAGCATATAAATGAGATATTTCAGCCGAGACTGGTAGAAATCTATCACAGTAATAACTGATTGTATCTTATCGATGATAAAACATGATTTCTTTGAGGGGTTTAACAGACAGTTTCACAGAATTTATAACATGAAATTATGTTTTTACCTGACATAGAAATAATTTTATTTAGCAGAAGTAACATTTGCCAGTTGGTAGACTATAGTATATTTTATATTTCCAATGAATGGAAGAAGATGTATGTATGGCAAATGCATACATACAAAGGTCACAGTGGAAAGAAAAACTATGTTGTGTTTGAGATGATAGATGATGAGTATTTCCTGCTTTTTGATGTGGTCTACACTTTCTGTGGCTGTTTGCAGAAATGAGGTTTAAAATCAACCAATTTGGGTCACGGAACTTTTTTTTTTTGTCAGATGAATCTAAACATAATGCTGCTGCTTGAGTAAATAAATCTGATTTTGTGACATATTTTATGGATATTTGGGATTTTTATGCATTTTGAGCAGATTATTTCCTGTGAATATTAATAAAGGTGAGTTTTCCTGATAATTTTAAGGTACTTTTTATGCAATTCTCTCTCTGTATTATGTATTTGTATCATTATTTAATCAATCATAAATACTTAATAAGCTTCTTTTGTGACAAATTCAGTGTTTCCTTCTCCCTGATGCTTGGCCATTTTCTTCTGTTAACTCTTTATTTGTTTTAACTGCATACTTTTCCAATACAGGATGGACCTGTTTGGCAGAAAGTGAAGGCTCTGCAAATGTAGCTTGTGTTCAGGACCTTAAAGTTTATATCTTAAATAACAATCTAAACTTTAGAAATAACACCTTAATTTTGTTTTCTTCACAGAAATGAACAAAATGCTGAGTTATAGGTCTACTGTGTGTAATTTGTACCTTTTCTTACACCCCTTAAAATCAAGAAGGCCTAACTACCCCCTCTACAATCTCTGGTGACCCTGAGTCGGGGGCTCGAACCCCAGGTTGGGAACCACTGTTTTAAATAGAACTTTAATCCAATCTTGTAGGTGTTTGCTAATTTAACGTTTTCTGAAGCACCTCACTGGGAGACTGTGACTTAAATTAATGAATTAATTATTAAATAATTTGTTTTTAGACTCCAAAGACTTTTAGGACTTGCAGTATAAAATCTTTAACTATCAAATATATAATATATATATAAAACATCTTATTATTGCATTAGGAATCCAAACTTTTGAGATGAGATATTAAAAAGAACCTTTAAACATACTTCAACATACTATCCAGATACATGTGTAGCTCAGTTCAGATGCTTTGAGTCAGTAAAGCATTATATATTTTGCAAAGCTCACCGTTAACAATCAGGATGACTTTGTCATACTGATTTTGGCGCCCTACATTTGCATTGATGGAACACTCGTAGGTGCCTGAATCTTCAGGCGTCACTCTGGGAAGCAGCAGACTGTATTTCTCTCCAAACCTGGCCGGCCGAGTGAAGTTGTAGCTCTGCAGCGCCTCATCATTTTTACCTCTCCTGATAATGCCACGCTTACTCGGGTCCAACTGTTCAAAGTAACAACCAAAAAAGACATTTTCATACATCCATATGACAAAAATAAGTTAATGAATGTTACTGACTGTGGAGTTTGTAATCACTGTGTTGTATCAGTTAGAATACACTAGAGGATTTAATGGTTTCTTGTACTTTACTGCAAAGGCTGTACAGGTTTACTTTTGAGTGTGTCTAGAATAACAGACCACTGCAATTAACTGTAGCATCATAGAAATGATTCACTGACCTTGTACCATGTCACTGAGAGGAAATCTGTGCGGCCACTTTCAAGACTTGAACACTTCAACTGGACATCTTCATCACAGGCTGCAGTAATTTCTGACGGAGTCTGGGTTGCGTAATGCACCAACAACAGCTGAGATGATCAAACACAGTGTTCAGATCAGATTTTCTATCAGTGTGCACAGCATCAAACCACTGAGCTCCTTTAGTGGATGAAATTATCCATAAAATGTTATAAGACTGAATTTTATAGTTAAATAAAAAGTTATAATTATATATATATAAACAAAAATTAAAAATCTGATTTAACTCACCTTAATGAACAGTACCTTCTGTAACATCTTTTAAACTTGAGTTATCCGTAACAAGTGATGTTTTTTCTCTCACTTCACTGGAAATGGAGTCACTTCCTGTAAAGGGGCCTGTTTTAGCTGACTATTATTAGATGGCGATATGCCATCGTGTGGTGCTTGAGAGCAGTGCAATATTTCCACATTAAAATGTCCATCAACACTAGACCTATGTTATATACACATTCTTACATTATCACAAATGTTTCCAATATTTTATTTAGGGAACGGCGCTTTTGCTCTTTGTGCATGCATCAGCGTTGTAGTTGAAGCTTTATAAACTGACTTTTTATCTAGTTTTAAGGCACATTTTTATGCTAAACTTTTTAGATCTTAGTGGGTTTTAAGTATATATTTTAACTAACTAATAATATAATCTTCAGTTATCAGAGAAACAACCGCAACATTAGCAGCAGCTCTTTGTCTACCAAATAACATAATAAAAACACACAATTTAAAGGTGAAACTGCTTTATTCATTTATTTTAACGGTTTGATTTGTTGGTTTGTTTTGGAGAGGAGGAGACCTCTGTGGATTATTCGGCCCCCCGGTTTAAAAACCTCCTGAAACACACTTTTTACAGAAAGGGTTAGACGTAACTTCTCCCTAATCCAGCACTGGAAAGGTGTGGGGTGGAGGAGGGCAGTTCTGAAGCTATTTGACCTTCCATCAAGCAGTTCTGATGGATTATACTGTCAAATTAACTTCTCACCTCACTGCAGTGATACAGAAGTGGGTTCATCACTGTTGGGTGTAGTTATAGGTGCAACAAAACACATTATGAAACAGATACCTTCAACCAGAGTGGGCCATAAACACACAAACAAACAATGAAACAAGGCAACAGAAGACAGTGGACATGTGTGAATACTATACATATAACACAACCCTAACCCTAACACACAATACAGCAAGCAAGTATAGGATAATACAAAGTGTTAGGCTATATGTGGGTATCTTGGCAGTTTATGGTGTATTTCAGGGGTCTCAAACTCAAATTGTCGTTTGGGCCACTTCAACGTTCATCTATTATAAGAATATTTTGAAAATATTTCCATTACTAACATAATAATTAACAAAAAAAAATGCAAACATCAGTTTCTATACATTTATATATAATCATATTTGTGGTTCAGAGCAAAACAACAAATGAAGGCCTGAAACCTGCTTTCTCCTTATCAACCCTTTACATGCATTTGCAGTCACCTTTTACCTTTGCCATTATTTCGCATTGCACAGTTTATATATATAATTGTGTCTTTATTTGAATTGTATATCAAGGGGTTGTTTAATTGACATAAAACAAATAGGAAACAAATCTTACATCCTGTCAAAGGGGCGATGAAGGGCTGGAAATGGCCCCCAGGCCCGACAGTTCTTGTCCCCTGGTGTGTTTGAATGAAGGAGAATTATTGCATGTGGAATAGATGTAAACTTGAACCTCTTGCACCTAATTGTAGTGCAACAGGTTCACAAATGGTCTGGATTTGTCAAAACGGATGTAACCTAGTTGGTCAGAGATGACTGACTTACATACTGGAGACTCTCATCAGTCACACACACACACACACACACACAGTGAGGCTGGCTCATCCTGTTGTTTTCATCCCAGGGAACTCCCCATTGTCTCCCTTCAAGCATATTATTTGTATGTGTCGCTCTTGTTGACAAAGGAGGTCGATATATGGTTATTAATAGCTGACTGGTTTTATGGAAAAGGGAAGAGTGAGGTCTTTGGATTCCACCATCTGCATCAAACAATGCCTCATTCAGCAGCAGCTGGCACAGTGAACACAGGGAGGTAGAAATGTACTGATTTTACTACAGATCATCAGTGGAAATGAGGATATTTTTTTTGTCCGCTTCCTTATTGGACACCGGTAACTGTGCAGCTGTGAGCGGTTTTAGATTTATGACAGGGGTTAATCTCAGCATGAGAAAGAAATAGCAAAGCGTGATACTCTACATTTTTGAAATATTTTTCACGTGTTGGTCACCGCAGATGTTCTGATACTCCAGCGCAGCGTTTATTTACACTTATACAAACTACGTGTCATAAGGAAATACTGTGATTATTAACTTTAGTGACAAAAAGAAACTAACTGCTGAAGCTTGTAAGACTTATCAAAGTTGTGACTTTCTGAGGGTTTGATTGTTGAACTCGAGTGCATGTGTAATGTGTGCATGTATGTGTTTGATTCTGGCTCTAAGTGTTGTAGTTAAATGGTGTTGCACGCCACAGTAAATCCCAGAGGTTGTTAGCACGCCCAGCTGCTAGTGCAGGTCTCCATGTTTCTGTCAGCGAGGTTGTTCACCGCACACTCTTTCGCCTCTGATTGAGGAAATCCTCTGACTGTTTGCTCTGTTTGCTGAAATTAAACGTCCCAATAGTTCCGCCATCTCTCCCACAGGTCCTGTACATGGAGACTTTCCCATGAAAACTGTGCATGTTTACTGGGGTTTGACAGATATATAGCTCTTTGATGGGCCGTAACAGTACCAATGTTTATGTGCTGCAAAGGCTGGTAGATGATATTTTGAGATAATTCGAGTTATTTCTCTATTTATTAACTTTGTTTTATTGTTTTGAGAAAGAAGATCCACTAAAATGGTAATTAAAAAATCCAAAAACTGAAATTAAAACTAATCAAATCCCTCTTACTTCAGTTCACATAATGTCTTTATTGTCCCACAAGAGGAAACAGCAGCAAGGAAGCATAAAAACATAAACCATAAACAAGGACAATTGAAGACATTAAAAGTGCTTGTACTAGACATGCAATATAGAAAGCAATAAAGGTTTACTGTGATAAAACACAGACAAACTGCAGCAATAAGAACACGAACAAGCTAAAGGGGTACCAAGAGGCAGTATGTGGTTTATTAGAATTAAGAGCATGTGTTACACATGGGATGAATGAAAGTTGTAACTTGTTGCACCTCATTTTTTAAAAGACCTATCATCTCTGACTCGGGGAGGATGTCAAATTCCTTAAAGTGTGGGTGATTCATATTTGTGATGATGGCCTTCTGTGTGATTTGTCAGCTGAAAGGGTCAAACAAAGGGAGGCTCCTGCTCACCAGTGATTTTACTCTCCACCTCGATAATGTCCCAGTCGATTCGTGTTTTGCAGAACTGATTCTGTGACAGAGCTGTAAACATTAAAAACATTCAACCTCCCCAAGTGATACAGTCTTTGTTGCCCTTTCTTGCAACCAATTAAAAAAGCTAATTAACTAACTAAACTAATTAGTTAGTTAGCTCTTTGAGGCCGAATGACGGTTGTAAAAGAAGCTCTAGGAAAACACCTTAAAATGAAAACTCACATAACAACAAATGTTATGTAGCAAGTACATCAATAGATAAAATACACACACATAAAAACACAACTCAATTGTGGATTATATGTTTCAAGTAGCTCTCCTCAGTCAGGTTAACAGCAGCAAACTTTAAAGCCGCTATAACCCCCATTGTTATGTTTCTGTATGCGCAGATTGTGAAAGGGGTCACTCATAGTGATAGTCTATATCTGAGGTGCTTTAAACTTAATGCTAAAAGCATGCTAACATGCTGTTCAGTGGGTGTAATGCTTACCTTTGTCACAATATTAGTTTGGTGTGTTAGCCTGATAAAATGTGCTAATTAAAATGAATTACAAGTTGCAGCTGAGGCTGGTGAGATAACCATTAGTTTTGCAGGAATTGTTCACAAACAAAAGTACAGGACAAATTTAAATTATGACCTGAAGATGGCACTAGATGGAAAGTTATCAAACAAAGTTATTAAAATTCATCCTCTGCAGACCATGAATGTCATGACAGATGTCACAGCAACACATGCAATAGTTTTTGTTTTCTTTACGTATTTTTGGTGCTTAAATCCATTATCCACAAAGTTAAAATAGGGAACTAACTGAGTGTAACTTTATATGGTGATAATATGTTTACAATATGTTTACAGATTGTTTCTGCTGCCCCCTAAGAGACCCAAAAAATCAGCTGTTGCAGATTTAACTGACTGATATCTGGTATTCAATCAAATGTAACAATTTTTATTTAAACTAACACACACAAACATACACTGTAATAGTTATATGCAGTAACACATGCCTGAGAGGATGTATATATCCATATATCCATTGATTTTTTTCATTTCTGTTTCATCTTGATAAAACGTTTCTTCTGCACTGAGACTGTATGACTGGCTGAAATGATTCCCGTCTTTGTGAGGGAACTGAGGCTGCAGAGCTGCATCACACTGCCGGTTCAATTGTTTGTTTAAGGAAGTAAAAACCCCTTTCAGTCTGTATTGCTGGATTTTCACCTCTGCCTCAGGACTTTGGCAGGCTGCTGAGTGCTGGAGGTTGATTGTGCGAGCCTGCAGCAGAACAGAGCTGTGTTACGACGATCTGTATTGTTCCTTAATTTCTTCTCTGGGATTTCCTCTTGCCAGCTCGCCCCACCCACCCATCCCCTTCACTGTACAGCCCTCCATCATCCTCCCTCTGTCTGAAGGCCCTGCCAAACTCTTTGGCACATGAAAACAATTGTTCTTGTACGTTTGAGGAGACACAACCGGCTCCTCAGACAGGCTTTTTCTCCCCTTCAGAAGCTCAGCTGACGGTCAGGCAGACAGACTTCCTCCTCCTCCTCCTCCTCCTCCTCCTCCTCCTCCTCCTCCTCCTCCTCCTCCTCCTCCACCTCCTTTTGGAAAAGTGGTCATGTTCAGTAAAATCGGAAGCGAAGTATCTGACTCCCAAGCCACAAAGTGACTCAGAACCATTAATATCTTTGACATGCAGGTGGAGCGAGGGGCCATCTCCCCAGCCAGTGAGTGTTTGAAACATGCTGAAGCAGACTGTGAGAGCAAAAGCTATTAAAATATTACCATGTGCAGGTTTGTTTCTAACAAGAGCTTTCTGGCAATACTACAAAATGCTCAAGGTAAGCACCCATCTGGGAATCAGGACTGCACTCCCAGATGATGTTGAAAAAACGCTTTACATCCTTCCCCTTTCTGGATCATCTATTTCAGCTTTTTTCCTCCTCTTCTTTTGGTGAGGCAAGAACAGGAACACGTTTGAGCTGTCAGAGCAGTGATTTGTGTTTAATCTGTAAAGATGTTTTCATGGAGCCATTGCTCAGCAGGATTCATCAAATCTGGCTTCCTAAATGCGACAGTTTCTTTTTGTTGTTGTTTGTTTAGATCAGTAACTGTTAGTCAATCAACATGAACAGGCCAAGATGTTACATTATGTCAATTTCTACTACATTTATGCACAAATAACTCTCTCCAAAAGGTAGAAACCAGACATCTGGAAGGCAATAAAGCACTGAGCTTCTAACTGGGCAACATAAAGAAGACACATTTCTCAATATTGTTTCACTTTAAAGTTAACTTTATTGTACAATTGAACTTTATTGAACTTCACTGCTGTAGTACAGCCATTTGGCATCCAAATCCTGTCCACATATCTTCTGGAAATCATCGTAAACTTTGTTGCTGCTACTTTGTGTGATTAAATCCAACACACTGAAAGTCACTGGGTGGTCTGGACTCAATTCGGGTCGATGTAGCACCTACACAATACTGAGTTACCCAGTACCCATGGGTAGAAACCCACCTAAGAGAAGGGTTTGATTTGACACAGTGTTAATGTTGAGTTATTTACCCAAATTAAAATATGTCACTATTTGTTAGTGTTAATATAATGTTTAGTTCTAAATATCACATATCACACATCATTATGTACAACTAACAATAAATTAGCAACAGTTTAAAAGGTTAAACTGAGTCAAGATAACCATATCTTGTAACAGTAATATAAAAGAATAACAGTAACATTGGGTCAAAACCAATTTTGGAAACCAATTGATACTTGGTAAAGTTAACCTAGTATTGCATCTGTGATATATTGACCCAATATATTGACCAGTTTTTAACCGGTCATTTTTAGTGTGGAAGGAAGGAAGCAAAAAGCATCTCTCTCTCTCTCTCTCTCTCTCTCTCTCTCTCTCTCTCTCTCTCTCTCTGACTTACTTCACTTTATGTTTATTTATATAAATATTACAAAAATAAAAATTCATCCTTCAAAAATATGACATAATATAGCAAAGGAAAGTAATTAAATAGAAGAAACAAGTGTTCTTGTCTTCTTTTTCTACCTTTCATAAAACAATAGAGCACAGGCTATAAAGGTCATTCGTCATCTCAGCTCACAAAGCTGGCAGAAGGAGGTGGAACCGCCCTCTAGCTTCATTTTTATCTCCGTTGAAATTCTTCCTCTTTTGGGATTAAGAGATGCGAGGATTCGAGGAAGAGGAAAAACTCATCAAAGTGAAGTAGTAAACGTTCGCAGTGGTCCCCAGGTGGAGCCTCGCCTGTCAGACATGTTAAACAGATCCACACTGACCTTATTTGCTGCCTTTACTTGTCTCCCCCATCTTCTTCTTCTGATGGTCTCTGCCATCAATTTGTTAGCTGTCATCTTGGGGGGAAAAAAAGGCCTCCTTCTGATTTTGTTGAAAACTCACTATTTGGTTCACTCGCTCTGAAAAGTACCACCAGAGAGCTGTACATCTGGGTCCCAGCGCCGGATGATGTCAAGACTGGCGCTGACCCAAAGCCCGTCGCAGAGAGAGTTCCTCAGAGAGGTCGGCTGCGCGTTGTTTTCCCTTCCTGTGCCTCTGTGACATCTTCCTGCCGGAGGGAGCCTCGGGGAGCCATTTGAGGAGGCCCGGGCCCCAAGCATGGAGGACTTAGCACAGCAAATTCCAATTAGCCTGACAGGGCAGGTGGGGGTTGTGGGGATGGAGCGTGGTGAGGGGAGCTCGGACCCCCAGCATGCACCTTTAACTGCCTTAAAATTCACTTTCCATACACTTCCCATCCTCCTTGTGCCACCGGGGAGCCTCTCGCTGTCATTTTGAGGACTGAGTTTGCAAGCTGATTCAAAGCGATGCCAGACAGGAACTTTGGCTCAGCTGTCTGTGTATCTGAGCCGCAATCCGCCTGTTAGACAGATCACTACAGTGTCTTTTTCAGACTGGAGAAGACAGAGAGAGGCCCGCGGAGACTGGGCTGCTTTTGCTCAGCAGTCTTATTCCTAAGAAGTTATGAAATGTTTTCCGGTGAAAGTGGTCTAAATCGGCTCTGTGCTGTGGAGACCACGTTGCAAAGGATATATAAAAGTAGGAAATTAACTAACTTTTGCAGTCGATTGTAAGAAGACAAATAAAATGGTAATTATCTGTCATGATAGTGAGAGCCTGAACATCTAGTGACATGTGAACTAATAATATGAAATCAGATCACAGAAAGACAAGTTACCCTTCAGGACACTGTAATGCCAGAAGTTATTCTAAATGGATTACATCAAGTAACACAAACTAATTTTTGTAAGTTAAATAAAGATTCCTGATCAAGCAACTTTTACTAGTAATTTTAAGTGAAGCTAACTTAGTTTTGTAACTTACAGAAACATCCTGATTAAGTGCTTTTTACTTCAAGTTTTAGGTGTTTTGTTTTAGCAGCACAAATAAAAACTACAATAATTAAGTTAGTGTAACTTAAAAATACAGTTCAATTTCAGCAATTTTTGGAGTTAAATGAACTCATCCGGTTTTACAGTGGATGAAGGCCTTCGTTACATCCGCAGCATTCGCCTTGATTACACGTCAGCAAGGTTTCATTTCAGTGCTCCACCGTGACCTCCAACCTCTCACCCCATCTCTCCCTGTCCACTGGACCCACAGCAGTGATTTATCCCTCTGACATACCAACAGCTGTGTTGGGGCTCCGAGCAGAGTGTGGGCTACTATTTGCCGTGACTAATCGATAACAGACTTCAAAAAACACTAATCGTGAGAGTTGGAAAAAAAATACACCAGTCACTGACACCAGAAACCCTGAACCTTTGCTTTGGCTCTGCGGGCTTCATAAACAACGTCTTGGCAACATTACTGGAAACAATGGAAGTGTGTGTGTGTGTGTTTGAGACAGAGAGAGACATCTTTCCATAAAGACATTTAAAAAAACATTTTATAACACTAAGTTGGTTGTTAAGAAAAACAGATTTTTGCAAATGGAGCTAAACACAGGAAGTTAAGTGAGCAGTTAGGTGTCAAACAAAGAAAATTTCTTATTAGAAATTTAAGTTGAGACCATTTTCCAAACTGCAGTTGAGCGTCTGGTCATATAACAAAAACATCCCTTTTTCTAAAAATGTCAGACCAGCTTGAAAACAAAGAGTCTCAAAAGATAAACAGAAATAAACATTTTCTATTTTTCCTTTTGTCCATATAATCAATGTCCCAGACATTACCACAATCTGAGGTATATTATGACTTTACACTTCATTTTGTTTGACAGTTTTTTCATGGCACAGTTGTGTTTCTTGTTTATCACAAGACAAACCACATTTTAATGTAAATCAGGAAAATAATTGCCCTTATTTTGATAAAATATATTTTATTTAAAAGATTTGTGGAAAAAAAGGACAATAACTCATAAGTTTCAAACAAATGCACTGCATCTCTGAAGGTCTTATGTTTAAATTTCTCAGTCAAGTATAAATAGTCTCTTCTTTGGTTCCAACATTTGATCCAGCATGTGTACATACCTTGTGTGTGTGTGTGTGTGTGTGTGTGTGTGTGTGTGTGTGTGTGTGTGTGTGTGTGCGCTGTGTAACACCAGCTCTGACTCTTCCCTGAGAAAGTCTTTGAGGATTTTCAGGTTGCTAATCATTCACTGGTCCTCTGTCAACGTCTCATTCGCAGTTGACCCATCCCTCTCATTTTTAAACAGTCTTTGCCATCTTTTATCTGGGGGTGAGAAAAAGGGGGGAAATGCCTCAGTCATATAAAGATTCAACAATATTTAATTTAACTGCACCAGATGCATTGCATTTCTATAAATATAGACATAGCAACTGTTTCTCAAGTTTCTCTCCGTTTGATTCTCACATTTATTTCCAAATGCAAGAGGAAGCCACTAATTATGTTATATCTCACATTATGTTTTGCGTTCTTACAGTCATAAAAAAAATCTTAATAAAAAACACCTGTGTCTGTCTGAATGTGTGAAGAATTTCTAACGAGCGCCAAGAACTGTGCCGTGCGTAAAAGCGCGCACACACTCTAACACAAAATAATGGAGTTACACAAACATGGTCACGAATGACAGATAAACAGATGCTGCATCAGACCAAACTTTCTAAAAAAAAGCATGATGAAGACAAACAAAATCGTGTCTGTTTCCTGCCACTCTGAAATATTTAGCAGTTGTATTTAATCTGCGCTGGATTTTAAGCGGTGCTGACTTTTGGATAAACATTAATACAGCATTTACCCCTTTTCTCTGGTTGCTCAAACAGAAGGTGCAGATGGTCCTCGGCTGCTGCGCCCCGCTCTCTCCTTGCGCATGAACCGCGCCGAGGCAGGGCTGTTCCTCTGCGCCGCCGTCCCCGAGAAGAAGCACGTTGGCCAGATGGGAAATGTAGCTGGATGCCAGTCGAAGAGTTTCGATTTTGGAGAGCTTTCTGTCCACTGGCTCGGTGGGTATGAGAGTCCGGAGAGCTGTGAATGCGGTGTTGACACTCTGGGTCCTGCCTCTCTCCCTGGCGTTAGCTGCGCTCCTCTGTTTCACCACCCCGGTGTCTCCTTCCAGATTGCGCGAAATCCTCCTTCGTTTTTCGTTGGAGCCACAGTAACTTTGCTCCGAGCTGCCGTCGCTTTCGCTGCGGTTTTCCTCGTCCTCGGACGTGATAGTGAAGTCTGAGTAGATCAAGTGTGTCGCCACAGGCCGCAGCATGGCGAAAGTCATCATTAAAAAGTTCCAGCTCCAAATCCCCTGTTAGAGCAGACCGAAAAAACCAACTCAAGGACTAACACTACATCTCAATATGACACAAAGGCTTCACACAACCACTAATGTAAAAAGGTTTTAATAAAGCTGACAGACTTTCAGTTTGTACTGGCCTGTTTTAAGGATGGACCCTGACTACCTGGTCAGCTGGGCTCTTATAGCTAGATGGGAGGAGCTGAGTGTTACAGTAACCTCTCAAGACTCTGTATACACAAATTATAATTCATAAATATGACACATCGTTATAAACAAAGGCACGATAATAAGTGAAAGTGATCCTTGTATTACTGGAACAGACACACACTGTGACTGAATACAGTTTCTTTTTTTTAGAAAGAAAAATACTCTTTAGTTTACTTTAGTATTGAAAGAAAAAGTTATACCTGTAATCAGTGGTGGAAGAAATAATCACATCCTTTACTTAAGTAAAAGTAGAAACAGTGAAAATACTCCATTACAAGGAAAAGTCCTGCATTCAAAATATTAATTAAGTAAAAGTATTTGTGTTAGCAGCAAAATATATAAAAAGTAAAAGTATTCATTATTCAGAAAACCCCCACTGAGTGGATTATTACTGAATACTATATTATTATTACGCATGTGCTGTAAGCTGGTGAAGGTCCAGATAGCTTTTAATTACTTTACATAAAATACATAATTTTAATAAACTAATCTAATGTTCTGCATGTAAAATTGTAAACATAAAAGTAACTTGTAACTGTAGTTGCTGATAGAGTAGTGGAGTAAAAAGATAATAATAATATTTGCCAAAGAAATGTAGTATAAAGTTGCAAAAGTGTACTTCTAATACTTAGTTTATGTTCTTAGTTTCTACTGCCTGTATTGACAGGATGGATTAAACACTTCTCTCATATAAAATGAGTGTTTCTGGCCCAGGGGCACGACTATAAACTTCCAAAATTCAAATGTATACGTTATAGAGTCTTTTAAAGGCATTCAGGGACTACAGTTTGCTTTTGAGTTATTTTACAGTTTACTATCTTGTGTTAGGTTGACATGTTTATGGTGCTGCCGCCCACTGAGGCTTGTTTTTGTTGGCCTGCCACACAGATACAGTCAAGACCAAAATTAACCTCACTAAGCTTCAGCTTGCTCAACAACGTCTAAATAAAATTGTGCAGGTGTTTGGAGAACTTGCGCAATGAATGTGTATGTAAATGCTGTTTGTTTGGCCAATTCTCAAATTTCCAATGGAAATGATCAAGTCAAATGTAAGAAGTTCTTTCATTTGAATATCTTTTTGAGGAGGCCAGACTTAATGTTTGCCCTTAAGCATCACTACTGCAACAAACAGGCTTGGACTAGTACATAATTATGTCATCATATAAAGTTGCCAATGGCTCATACTGAGGAGCACAAAGTCAGGCAGCAGGAGAAAGTTAAGTGTGAGTAAATAAACACTGAGCAGATGATCCTGGAATGGCAAGGATTTATTTGCTTGCTGCCCCGAGTTCAGAAAAACAAAGCAGTGGCAAATGGATGATTTAGTCCCTCCTAGCCACATCAACAGACACAAGTCTCCACAGCCGGCAGCACATTCAACCACTTCAATGTGCCTCAGCTGCATCAACAGTCAGACATCAGACACCTAAAACTGTCTGCTGAATGAGCGCTGAGGTCTAATAGAGGACAGCAACCAAACACAGGTTTCTGCAGCAGCAAAAGAGCCGGGTGAATATTTAAATTAGGAAAAATAAGGTAGTCTCCCTGGAGAGTTAACTTCATAGAAATTAATCAAAAAAATTATGAGCTATGAAAGACACATAAACTGATTTTAATTTGTTGTGATATTTGATAATAGCCAACAACACCTCACCAGTCTCAGACACTCTCTGCTGCTGTATGGTTACTTACATTTACCAGGACCCGTGACGACTCACTGTGAATTTATTTTGCAGTACAAATGTGTGTGTGTGTGTGTGTGTGTGTGTGTGTGTGTGTGTGTGTGTGTGTGTGTGTGTGTGTGTGTGTGTGTGTGTGTGTGTGTGTGTGTGCGTGTGTGTGTGTGTGTTGACTTTAGACTAAAGACAGAAGTTGAAGCTCTCTCAGAACAACTCTCTTATTTCATGGAACTGTAAAACGGCCCTTTTGCTCGTCCGGATGAAGTAGATCCATTTATCCATACTGATGAGCCGACAGCATGTTGGGTTTGCCACCCACTGAGTGCCGCATTGTTGTGCTTCAGAGATCTCTGAGAACAGCAGCTTGCTCTGAGCCACCAAGCTCAGACAGGAAGGTTTTCTGTGTCTGTGCTGCTGTATGTTTTTGCCTTTCTCTGGATGTCAATGTCAGTCGGTCAGTTCATCACTTTACAAGATGGATTGCCATGAAATTTTGTACAGATATTGCTGTTATAAGGATAAATCCAAGGTGGATCTCCTGACTTTTCCTCTAGTGCCACTATGAGGTTGACACTTTCAGCTTTTAGTAAAATGTCTCGACATTATTTGGACAAATTGCCATGAAATTTGGTTAAAATATTCCTGTTCCCCATTAGGATGAATCCTTATAACTTTGGCAATCCTTGGACCTTTTCTGTAGCGCCACCAGCAGGTCAAAGTCAGTTATTTTATCAGTCAGTTAGCAGACATTCATAGTTTCCAGAGGATGAACCCTTATGATTTTGTTGATGCTCTGACTTGAGTGAATTTTGAGTGAAATGTCTCAACAACTACTGGATGATTTATAATAACTTTAGTGATCTCATCACCATCATCATATCTAAACTTTAATTTGTCCAATATTACTTCTGATATTTAAACAACTAAATTTATAGGAACAATATTCCCATTAGCCTCAACTGTAGTTTGTGTTTAGTGCTAATTAGAAAATGTTCTAATTTTCAATTTATATGGTGAAAATAGTAAACACCGAACCTCCTAAACATCAGCATGTTAGCCTATTATCAGTGTGAGCCTGTAATTAACTAAAGACAAAAAAGAGCTACCGATATAACTGTATTTCACAATATTATCTAGTTTCATTAGCACAGTCAATCAGAGTATTTAAAGGTTATATTTATATGACATTTAAAATATGAACATAGCAGCAAACAGCTATGTAAAGATATACTGGAGTCCTGAGCAGAGATTAACTCCCTCTGCCTGTGTTGCTATCGGAGCCTCTCTGTGGTTTGTTTACATCGCTGGTCTGCTCTGTATGCGGCTGAGTAGAGCGACTGAAAAAGTTATTTTTTTAAACTACAAACTTAAACTAAAGTTCTATCTCTGTACGGATCCTTTCCTTAATGTTGTCAGACATACAGAATAACAATCTGAGACTGTCAGTGGCAAAAACAAGCACTTGTCTTGTCTCCAAGGATCAACATTGGCTAACGTTGCAGCCACAGTCGCCCTTTTCACTGATATTTTCACAACTAAATCTGTGAATTAAGGGTTTATTTTAACCAAATCAACTTTGGTGATTGTTGGAAAGACTAACAAAGATGGTTTTGGTGAGTTTAATTTAATTCCTGTCCTGTTGTTTTGGTGTGAGATCCTGTGCTCTAGTGACACCCAGTGGCAAGGGTATTTCGTATATAACCTTTAATGCTGTTGGGCCGCAGTCGCTCTGCTCCTTATCCACCACTGTTTCACTGACTTATGGGTGTCGTCTTTGTTGAGTCACCGATACCGGAAAAGAGAGCAGTGGCAACTCTCCAGCTTTGCCCCATTATCCAGGTTTCATCTAGTCCTGACATATTTGCATACATGTCTAATGTATGAGCCAAAAGAGACGGTTAATGCTCCTTACATTCAAATCTGGTGATATTCTATACTTTTCTTTTTTGTCAAACAACTCCATTAAAATCGGAAAACCAACATGAATTAATCCTACGAAGTACAGCCTTCTAGCCAAAGCCGGACATAGTTTATTCCTCCGTGCCGCGGAGCTCCATTGTTGTCCAAAAACTATTAAAAACACATCTATGAGCCACACCTTTGCACTGGGTAACATACAGTATTTCTCCATCACAAAAAAACACTTCATATGTAGTTTATTTGGAGCTGATTCCACACACACAGTCCTGTGGCTGTAAATCCCAACAAATACACTATTTACTCCTTTTAGAGTAGCATGCAGCCTTTTAAGAATTTAAATGGTAAAATCAGGACCCTGTTTGAAAGATTTATATCTTCAGCTTGGGGATAAAAGCAACAGACAGACTCGGGAAGTTGGAGAGACAGGGCTAACTCACTGTTGGTTTTGGTCTTTTCAAGGGATTTGGCACATCCTCCTGTCTCCCAGTGTTTCTGGCAGCATATAGGGTAGGTTATGGTCTGGCATTGCACAGGAAAAACTGCTGGGGGTTAGAGCTGAGGTTGTGTTGAGGTAAAGCTACAGAGAAACATAAATCAGTGGGGAAACACAACAACGTCCAATCACATACTTTCCCTCATCCTTGTTCAGTGAAGCATTTGTAGAGGGGGATGTGTACTGCGGCATCATGGTCTAGGTACGTAGGTTTATCAGGTTTTATGCAGGGATTGCAAAATCAAATTGACTTGGGGCCACTGCTGGTATTGTCGTTTCATAGGAGGGCGACTAAAACGTTCACATACTACAAGACAGCTGTTTCTATACATTTTTATATCATCTTTGTTGTTCACAGCCAAACAACAAATAAAGACTAGAAAACTGCTCTCTTCTAATCAACCCTTTACATGCATTTTCAGGTACCTTTGACCTTTTTGACCCCCATTAATTTGTTCGATTCCAACCTGTGGCCCTTGCATGTCATCCTCTCTCTCTCTCTCTCTCTCTCTCTCTCTCTCTCTACTTTCCTGTCACTCTTAAGCTGTCACTATCAATTAAAGGCAAGGCCAGATTATATTATATTTCTGAAATCCCTGTTTTATTGAATATAAATGTGTCTCCAGATCTGTGTTTGAACATGGGGACATACAGTACTTGTTTTTCTTAAGGTGCTTAAGGGGCCCTATTGATGAACATTGCTGGTATGTTAACGTGTAGGTGCATCACTCACCCCCTTGCAGAGCATGGTAGTCCAGCTGTTCTGTTGCATGTGGACTAGATGTTTGTAAGGTGACAGAGATCGTCAAAGTGACTGATGTCACAGTAGGGACTTTGGGCTTTGTGCTTACACCTACAGCTGAAGCCAACAGAGTGCTGTTAGAGGACAAAGCTGACCTGAAGCGCATGATAATATGTTTGACCACAGACAATGCCTTCTAATGAGTCAACCGGTCCTTTTATTCTGGAGTCGTTCACTCTGATTATCATAGCCATGCAAATTACAAGCCACATTACAAGTTTTGAAACCTGTGTGAAATACAACCTACTGCTATTATACCACATGTATACTTTCACAAAGCCTCACAGAGACGGAGGTTCGTGCACAATGCGTCACAGAGCACACGGTGGTGAGGTCAGAGGGTGGATACGGCATTGCAAATCTGGCACAAATTTCACGCCTGCAGCCACCAGTAGTCTGAGGGAATTCCGGATAGGAAGCTGTGAGAAGTCATCAGCGACTCTAACACCTAAACTCCTTCAAGAGGATTTGGTTGTAATTCCTCCCCAAGTGGAACAAATGTCTGAGCTGGCTAACCAGACATCTTTTTTTTTCATTTAAAGCTGTATTTTAAATGTAGACAGACTCTGCAGGAGAGCAAGAATCTGTTGGTGGTTCTGGATTACTTCATATAAAAGCGCTTTCCATCAATGTTTATCACCTTTAAAACAATTACACATCCCAAGTGAAATCTGCCATAAAAAATAGAAGACTTTTTAAACAACTGGCAGATTTGTCGGTTTTAATGTACCAGCTTTATTTCATCCTGGTTACAGTAAAACCCCATTGAGCAAATAATCTTTTTGGTTTGTGCGGTACAATATTACACAGATGTGTATAAGACCAAGCAACACTCTGTAAGTGATACAATTTGATGAGATGCCAAAAATAGAAAAAATGTGTGAACACAAGAGGTGTTCTAAAAAACTGCGGCGTGCGAGTGCTTGTAAAGGAAGGAATGATCCTCTCTGCATCACCAATAGATAATAAATGAGATATTTTCACTCTGTTTTCAAGTGAAACCAGGACTGATGGTTAAGTGTTGCACAGACTCGCTCTAATTAGAAACCCACTAAAGGCCATTCATTAGAGTCTATGCAAGACAGAACTGATAAAACTTGTTAACACAAATGATTAATGTGTCAGACGGATAACGTGCACATACAACACAACTCCAAGCTCCACTCTAATCCTTAATCAGTGCTTTAAAATCATTTTTAACAATCCTTTTACAATTTTATACACTTTTTAGATATTTTTAACTATATATTTTAACAGGATGAAGGACTTTAGTCATCGGACGTCTAGATCTTAAGTCAGAAAAAAGCTGAGCTAACATTAGCAGCAGCTTGGCTGCCCTTTGTTTGCTGGAGAAACACTGATTTTTAAAGGTGAATCTGCTTTATTCAGTGTTTTTACAGGTTTTAATCAGCAGGTCCATTTGTTTTGGAGAGGAGGAGACCTCTGTGGATAATTCGGCTCACAGTTAACATTGTAGGAAGCAATGATGCTTAACAACAACAACTCCCATGATCCTTAATGCAATTTTTATTTTATTTTTATGTGAGAGACTCCTAGCGGCAGAAATCACATATTGTATGTTTAGATATGTGTATTTTCTGTATTTATTATGGTAATATCCATTTAAATGATGTTTCAGGACCGAAACTATACTGGAATCAAAAAGGCGTCACAAAAATCTTATGAACTAAGCATAAAGTTGTTGCCTCAAGTTAGTTTGTTAAGTCATAAGTGAGCAACACAATAGCATACGGCAAAAAAAAGTACATGGGAACTAGCATGGCCCCAATCCATTTGTGAAAATGGCCCCAAACACTTCCTCTTCTTGGCCCCCTAAATCCCCTTGATCTGTTTAAATCCTCAAAGATAAAGCGTACAGAACCACCCATGGAAACCGCTCCCCGAAGTAACAGGTGCAATATATTTTTTCATACCGGTGTTGCGTGTCAAAAACCCTTTGAGGATACGGTTACTTCCAGACAGTGAGTGAGCCACAGGAAGTCTTCTCACACGCGACGATTCAGGGGAGAAATTTAGAGTCCTTTAGGGCCGGTCGGTAAAAGCTGCCCCAGGTCTCCCTTCATTTCCTCGATGGCCACAGAGGGAGACCATCAAGCAGCTCTGAGCTCGCATTGTGAAGGCGTTGATGTCGGAAAAGCCTTGTCTCTGTGCGGTGACCTGCGATGTATAGTTTACCTATATTATTCTGCAAACCTACAGTTCCTTCCTCCAAGACAGAGGGGGAAGGGAACTGATTTGATTTAACAAGCAGGGCCAGTCTCAAGGTCAGCACCAACAATAAACAGGGTGTTGTGTAATACACTTACGCATTTACTTGATTATTCAACACTGCAGAACAAGCCATTATCATCATTGTTTTGCATGTTTAAGGAAGGTGAAAAGGCTGCTATCTATGTTATGTACTGTAAGTGGAGCACTCTTAAATGGCATTACGGACCATAGCATGAAGAGTAAGCCATCAATCTATTTTATCAGATGGCACTTCAAGAGAGAGAGAAAAGGCTTTGGTATAGGAGGAGTGTTAATCTGAACTGACCCGCACTGTGCTTCTCATTCCTCCTCTTTCTTTGGCGAAACACAATCTGGAAGGTTGCAGGAGGGATCCTTCTCAGAGAGTCAGAGAGACTGATGATGGGGAGAGGGGGCAGACTCAGCACCATCTTGCATTTTGACGCAAGACGTTGTCAGCTTGATGTTCTCATAACGCCTGACTCCTACAAACCATCTGGTCTATAGGCTCCTTTCTGTTACCTCGTCTTCTCGCGCTGTCTGAAACATCACAACCATAGTTGACTGTGCATGAGATTTAATAAAGTTAGATAACATACTGCACTTTGTTGGCACAGTCCTACTTGTTGAAATAATGCACATTTTATTCTCGTATTCTGTCGCTGCACACAAAGCGGCTCCACATCATTTGATTTCTAAAATTAACACTAGTGCCAAAAAATCTGCCTGCAGGGACCTTTTGATATAATTTCAGACTTAAAATAACTTGAATGTGAGACAACTTGTATTTAAATCTTCCTCAGTGCTCAGCAGGAAGAAAGCTCAAAAGGTGCAGTACAAGGACAGCCTATTATATCCGTGCCATGAAAAAGGATAGAAAAAAGCTTTTTTTTATTTTATTGAAGACATTTTGACATCGCACAGTAGGAAAAGCAGGGGTGTAATTAATCAAATAACCGATGTGTCTGAAGTCAGTCTTACTAATTCACTCCCAGTGCTATGCATTACACTGTGGGATTGGTAGCAGAAAGCACCTCGGATGCTCCCTTTTTTTGTTCCATTGTGGACTTTTTGAGGGCACTACATGATGTACACACTCAGACACCTAAATAATGCGCACTATAGAGTAAGTAGAGACTGATTTCAGTGTCATGTGAACAGCCGAGTTGGAAAACACCTCAAGTCTCAAGACTCAGCGCTGTTTATATTTAATCACTGGGAAATTCTAACAGCAGCAAAATCTCACACTTAGTGGAAAAAAAACCAGCGGCTACAAAAACCACAGTTACATCCTAATCTAATCTAATATTGACACTACATATTGAATGTGTATTTAAAAATTAGTGTTAATGTTCATTTAAAAAGGGGCCATACTTTATTTGATAGTATCTGATATCACTTGTTAACAATCTGCTCCAGTACCAATGTACCAAGGCTGAGTCCTTGCTGTAGCGGTCTTGGGTTGACTCCGACCTGTGGCCTTTTTGCTGTCATCCCTCTCTCTCTCTCCCCGCTTTCCTGTCCATTTGAGCCGTCCTGTCCAATAAAGGCAACCTCCCTCTCTCTCTCTCTCTCTCTCTCTCTCTCTCTCTCTCTCTCTCTTTTATATATATATATATATATATATATATATATATATATATTTATTTTTTTTTTTTTTTTTCAAAAGAAAATGCTCCAAATAGATATAAATATACTATATAAATACATATTATTTATACTTTATAGTGCAACTTCACATAACAGTTTTTCCTGTTCTTCCCGTTCTGCCAACATGGCGTGAATACAACAACATATTGTGTTACTGGGACACCTAAAACCGAGATATCGCTGACATTATTGGTGACACCTATTGGAGTTTTTCCTGCCACAAGAAGCCAAAAGGGTAACAGGAACGTACAAGAAAATAACTGCAGGAAAGGATCATTTTAAATACTGTTAATGTGCAAGTACAACTGTTGTTTGAATTTAAAAGCTATTAAATGATCTGGTAAAAATTTATAACTTACAAAAACACACACAAACACACACTTAAAATGATATTTAAGTGATTTTTAAATGGAAAATATCATGTATTTAACTAAAGAGTTACATTTCCCCCTGCTGGTAAATCCTTTGCTCTGCAGTTACAAGCTGCAACAGAAGAGTCAAAACTCTATGTGTGTGAGTCACCTGAGCCAAGTCTCTCAAAAAAAACCACTCCAAGCTGCTCTAGAGTCACAACAGATCCGGCGTCGAAGCCCCCAAGTAAGTGCTCAGGTGTGATGTGTTCGACTTGATGAGCTTGGCTGGGATGGTCGGCATGTTCAACCTCTGATACGCCGCAAACCTGTGACAGCCTCCAAAAGAGTAGTAGTAATCACCCCCCTCTCTGCCTTTGATCCAGAGCACATCAATGGGAGGAACAACACTCACGTCGGCTGTCTCCTGGAAGAAAAGACAAACTGACAGTTAATTCAAACGGCAAAGCAGAAAAAACTACAGTATGAGAGTGAGTAGCCAGACGTTACTGCAAACATTTTCCTGTAGGAATATTGCAAGAACATTATAGGTCTTTTACCTAAATACCAAAATGGGAACAATGACGTGTAAAAAAAGTAAAAAAAATGAATTATTTTCAGCAAGTTTTACTTCAAGAATCAATAGAAATAGTCTTTGTTATGCAGAATGGTCTCTTTCACAGTGATGTTATTATCACAATGCTGTATCCAGTAGAGGTGGATCACATTTCAACTGCTTTAAATAATGTTGGTGGGTTGAATGTATAAAAAGGGCCATAGTCCATAAAGTCCAAACCAGCAACCAAACTAATATGTATCTGCTCATATTAGGGTCCAGATTGTAACTCTGGTGGAAAAAAATAACTTATTTTTCATTTTAATGAATTCATGTATTTATTTTGACAACAAATTGTCAAATTTAGTCTAAAAACATTGAATCAGTCCTTAAAAAAACAAACATATGTAAAAAGTGTGAAATCACTGAACATAAACTCAATATAAAACTTCTACATTGCCCATAAATTAATGAAGTGGTCGACCCTGAACGCATCATATTTTATAAAACTGTTCATATATTTAATATATAAGATCATAATGTCATATAGTAACAAGCAAAACTGTTTTATAATTATTTTGAGTCTAATTCAGACTTTCAGGTCTCCGAATGCGACCAGTTGTGACACAAAGCTGTGTTACACTAAATCCCTTCAATGCATACGTCTAATAATTAAATATCCCATTAGCCTACTTATTTTTTAACATTCTGCAGACTTTGATTGCCTTTGTTTACAAGTCTCAAGTGCTTTTTAAGCTTTTTAGGGAGAATGTGAAGTCTCACAGCAGCCAAGAGTGGTGATATAAGAGGGTTTAAGTAGAGAACATTCAAATAGTACAAACATGCAGTGGAGTAAACCCACTTCTACATCCCCTGTGATGTGTATCATTCAGTAGTGAATGGCAAAGGCAAAGTTTCATGAGTGGATGGAGGAATAAGGAATGCACTTAATATAGTAGTATATAAAGTAGTTGTCTTTACCGTCTGTGGGCTAGTATTGATTGCAATTCTTCTGTGGTTAATGTTAATTTCATAATGATCATTACTCCCTGAAGTAAAGCAGCAGAAGTTAAGTGACAATGTGCACAAACTACTACAATATTTGGGTGAACTAAACATGTATTAAATGTCTTTATTACACAGGCTGTTTATCTGGGTGTTAAACTTGGGGCATAAACTAGTATACCTACTTCTCCAGGCACCGCTGCACCACTGCAAATGTGCACCTGAAATGAATGTAATGAACTAGGGCTGCACTATATGGTAAAAGCATCATATTGTGGTTATTTATGCCAGATATTGCGATTCATGATTATGTGGAAAGGAATTTGTGAACTTTTAGGGGGTCCGTACCAAATGTTGTGTACCATGTTTTCTTAAAATCTGGAGATCTGTACACCAGAGCACCTCTGCAGCTCTACAGTACTTCATTATAATGCTGTTTTCTAACACATTTGGCCTTTATCAACACATTACAGCTCCTATATGATTTGCATATTGCGACTACTAGACCAGTGCACTATTCACTACAGTTGTTATAGTTTTTGTTTGTTTACGTATCTGTAATATATATATATATGTAAACCTGTATATAGTAGTTTGTTGAGCTTGTTGTCCTGTTTGTTTATGTTTATTCTGTGCATGTACTATACCATACTACCTATAATAATAAGTGTTGTAGGTCAGACATGTCACTTTATCTTTATTCCAGTCTCCCATCCTTAAAACTCACACATTTAACAGCTTTAAACAACAAATTACCTTCATTATCGTGTCCATCAGACTCTGAACTTTCAGCTCATCCAGAACCGGAGGAATCGGTCTGATGATGACGTCCATCGGTACGTGGTGTACCTCCCCGACGCTGCCCGAGTGAATCGACCTGTTGTCGGCGTTTTCAACCCCGGACCGAGTCGACATGTTCCTACCGGATGAAACCAACAGCCTCACCTGAGTTTGAGAGCTGTGCCACAACCGAAACATTTCCCTATCACCCTGTTGGGTGTTATATATATATATATATATATGTGTGTGTGTGTGTGTGTGTGTGTGTGTGTGTGTTTGCTTCCTGGTTGGTGGCTTGATGCGTAGTTTTAACGGAAGGTTCTCATTGGTCGTCCGCGCTGTCAATCACAAGCGGACAACGCCCACTCAGGTGTTTTGGCGTTCAAACGGTCAAATTACCTGTTTTTACCCAAATTAAAAACTTATATTTGTTTCTTTGGGCATTTAGCACAGCTATAGTTAGACTGCCCACTGCTGTATAGGTTGATAATGCCGGAATTAGATTAGTTTTTTGCCACTTGGGGACTTTTTAAGTTGATATAATATAATATATACCATGTTGGCCAATAGTTGCTTATTTAAACATCCAGCAGTGATGGAGCGACATTATTATTCGGCCACCGGATGAATGTAAGTCCATTTATTCACTAAGGCTGCACAATTTGTCGAAATATTATCTAATAATCAATAATATGGCCACATGCAATATGCAAATGAGCTGTAATGTGTTGTTAAAGGTAAACAGCATTATAATAAAAGTACTGTAGAGCTGCAGAGGTGCCCTGGTTTTCAAATATTGCTCTCCACATTTAAGAAAACCTGTTTGTTTGCTGCAGAGGGTTCTTTAGCAGTTAAATGCTTCACCGGCTGGTCGCTAACTGTGTCTGACTGTAGTTTGGTGCTGAGCAGGTATCTTAGTGCAGCTAGTTCGCAATCTTTTTCCTTAAAGTAAAGACTGCTTAAGTGACATATTTTATGGATATTTCATATTATATTCAAAATTGTACCATGAATGAATAGTGAACTCAGTAAGTTTGTATAAAACGAGTGATTTGGACACATTTTTAGTAGATTGTTTACGTTTTAGGGAACTTTTTATACAATTCTCTGTATTATGTATTTTCTTTTATCATTACTAACAATCATACAGACTTATTGGCTTCTTTTTTGACAATTTACTTTTCTTCACAAAACTGAACCAAATGCTGAGATACAGGCCTACTGTGTATATGTTTTACCTTAGCACGCCTTAAAATCAAGAAGGCCTTGTGACCCCCTATGAAGCTTTGGCGGCCCCCAGGTTAGGAACCACTGCCTGTACTTGGTGTTAGTGTTAAATAGCATCCTACTGCTGCTGGAAATGAGTGAACCAGAACAGTAAAGTTGAAGCTGAAATTCACTTTAAAACGTCTGTAAAGCCAGAAGAGCTTCATATCAGGTGATAATTCATTCACATTGTCATTTGACAGTGTTAGTATAAAATTATCACTTCGCTATAGCTGTAACAGTAATAGTAGTTCACTCTAGCTTCACACTTACCAGCTGGGTGTGACAACCTGTTATCAGTGATAGAAAGAATTACATTTAGTTAACAATACATGGACTTTATCAGTTACTGACGTTGGCTTTACTTGTCGTTTGGGATCCTATAGACCCCACTGCTGTTTGTGTGGACTATAATAAGTTATATTCCTTTTTTTTTTGCCAAAGAGGTCATACAAACATACAGTTTGTTGCCCTTTATGGTGACGTTTGCTTGAGGTAAATTAGACCCCCTGTTAAAAAGCCCAATGACAGAAATCCTAACAGACCTACTTGGGATTCGTTAAGGATTCTGCTGTGTCATCACCATATGAAAATCCCCTGTATTTAACCATGTTTTGCAGCTGGAGTCTCTGAGACCACAACAGATGTGTAATTTTCTGTAGTCGACTTCTGAAACACGTCTTCAAAACTTGTGTTAATAAGGAATTATTATAAAAATGAGTAAAAGTTATAAAGTATCAAGCTGACAAAATAATGTTAAGCATGTTTTTTTAGTTAACAGGTCTGCTTCTTGGCATGTAAACAGACCCGTGTCGGATGGTAGCTGTTGAGTATTTCATGTACATGTTGTACCAAACACAAACTTTACCCCTTTCGTAAGATAACTTATTCATTTCATGGCCAAAACTGTTTCTCATTAAAATTCACTCCGGCAATTAGTCAAGCAGTTGAAAAGAGCCGCTACAAGCCCAGAATCCTTTGGTGACAATACTTTTTAATGAGGTCAGTGTTTTGTATTGTTGACTGTAGCATGATATAGGCTTCCTCCTTCAAAGTGCACAACTTGGTGATATTCTATTTTTTGCAGGGAGTTTCAAAGAGCCAGTCAGGTTGCTGTGGTTACATAAAAAGGACGTCTGGGCCCGCAGCTTTACTCAGGTAAGTGGAAAGCTTCAAAGATCTGTGGCAGTGGAGCGGAAAAAGAACTATTGTTGTTTTCTCCAACCCACAGCTACAGCATCTTCTAATGAGACAATTAAAAATGATTTCTTGGACAGGAGAGGCAGGCCATTATATTGAATTATTAGAAATACTTTGAACTACAATGGAAGCACCTTTTATGTTGATTAATTGGTCACACGGGGATCAGTTCCAACATGAAGGAGGTCTATATATAGTATGTAATCATTAACAGTGGTATCAGTACATTATACATCCTTGTAGAATAAAACTGAACCAAATACAAGCTGTAATTTAGCTGCTGTAGTGAATGTAATCAGCTTTTTCACATCATTGTCAAGTGGGAGTTTTGCAATAGCAGCAACAATCTGTTTATGATTCCCTAGAAAACAGCTTAGTTTTGAAAGCCACTTCTTTTTTTACTTAAAGAGCAATTTAGCTGACACCAGTAGTGTAAAAACAACTGAAAAAAACTCCAATTAAACTGTAATATGCTGACATGGATCATGCAGCTGACTGCATGACTTGGTGATTCTGTACGAACAACTACAGTACAGTAAATATGTATGGTGACATATCCCCCCCTGGGCATTCATAAACTTTATACAATGTCAGATTCAAGTCACTTTCTTTGCTGTCAATCAAAAGCCACTTCATCACGCACCAAAAGAAACCAGCATCACATGAAGAGAGGGGACCCTGTCAGTCAAAGCGTATAGACATGTAAATCATCTCCGGTGCCGAGGTGTGTTTGGAGTCCCACTACACTCTGCGTGACCCTCTGCTGTCACAGCAGGACTGCGTTCTTCTCGCTAACGTATCTCAATTACTTAGATTGAGTTAGTCACACAGGTACAGCGGCAGGTCACGGAAGAACAGTTCCCACATAATGATTTGCTGTTAATATTAGATTTCAGTCCCTGTGGGATTGTCACACTTAGAGCAGCTGGAGAAAATTACCTGCCAGCTTTCCGACAGGGAAGTGAGCTATATTTATTTATACCTTCTCTTTTTTTTTTTTTACACATTGACATGCTTTTAAAGTGATAATTATTCTGACGGTGATTTTCAGTCTTCAAACTATAGCTTTGTGATAGATGAATGTGTCTGAAATCATGACACGGTTTAGCAACAGTGGGTGTTGCTGTGTTTGTGGCTGAATGTGTGACTGATTCGTTCAGTGATGTTGATTATTCACTGGTGGCTCTGGCTGCTTAAACCTACGAAATTATTTTCTGCGCCATCTCCTGCAGCTGCCCAGAACAGGATCTCTGTTTAATGATCTTCCTCGCCTTGAAATAAATTTGCTCTCCCAACCTCGCCCAGGGAGAGAATAAGTGGTGCTTTTGGAGCGAGATTATTTAAAAGGGGATTAAAGTTGTGGCCTTTTTATCGTATTTACGCTTCAGCTTGTTTACTTTACCTTAAATATCTACATAAAGAACCACAACACACGTTTTTCTAAATTATTTGATTTGTCTAAAAAAGCTGATAAATACCTCACATCTGTAATTAATTTGCTGTCCTTGTTTCTGCATGTATTGTATGTGAAGGGAAGAGAGGAGCTATTTAAAGAGTGCCCTCCTTGACTCTTGCTTGAGTGCTGATGACAAGTTGGATATCTTAGATGCATAAAAATGCGATTTTGACATGACTTCAAAAAGAGAAGCATACGGATGAGGTGGACCCTCTGCCAACAGAGAGACGAGGAAACAGATGGGTTTTACACAAACAGCACAAACATCAAGAACACTGAGTTAAAGAGCTTGGCAGTCTCACTTGATGAAACAGTGAGGAATGGAGGCGCTTTTAATGAGCATCTCTCCTGTGATGCAGAATGTGAAAAGACAAACTGTTAGCTCTTAAAGGAGCAGTTACAGTTGGTTGGCCCTGTCTGGTGGAAACACAATGGTTTTTTACTAACCTCTTGTTGAGTGACTTTGGTCAGCGTGCATGCAGTTTATTGGTTTTAACATGGAGATTGTTTGAATGGAGATATGTGTTTTTATTTAGAAATTAAAGAGCCTCGAGCAGAATATCTCCTTCCGTTGAATCATCCAGTTGAACCGACGGCACTGTCATCAACGGTAAACAGCTTGTTGTTGTGGTTGAATTGTTGACAGTTGGTGAATAGCCAACAGATGGCGCCAGATGTATGTGAAGGGTCAGAGCGAAGGCCGGCACCAGTGGAAGGAGCGTTGGATTAAGTGATGATAGTTTGTCTGAGTACAAAGATGACGTGTTGTTTTGCTAAATCACCTGTGAGCAGCTGAGAGACACCAGTTGCAACTAGAATACTTCTTTCACCCATTCACCACTAATTCACATATTCACACATCCACCCTGGTGATTTTGAGATAAACGAAACGAAATAAGACTGCAGCTTACAAACAATAGTATTTTTATTGATTCATTTGTATTTTTTTATGTACCTATTAATTGTCTATATGAAATGTAGAAATAGGGAAAATATCAAAGTGATGCGCAAAGTGACGTCAGCAGCTCAAAACCCAAAAATATTCAAGTTAAGATGATATGAAAGCAGCAAATACTCACATCTGAGAAGCTAGAACCAGGAAATATTTGTGATTATTGCTTAATTAAACAACTGAGATTATTAATCTATTATAAATATTGTTGTAGATTAATTATCTGTTGATTAACTAATCAATTCTCGACTAATTGTTTCAGCTCTACTGTTTTTCTAGCAGACAGATTAGCAGCAGCAGTAGTAGTAGATTTGAATTAAAATGCACATTGATGGTTAACTGCAGGTTATTTTCCCAATTAATGGATTGTCCTATAAAAGGTCAGTTAATGGTGGAAAATGCTCTT